CCTTTTTGTTCTCTCTTTTACTGTAGGACTTTTCTTTTCTTTTTTGTTGTTTTAGCTATGAATACTTGCTCTTCTTTCCATTTTACGGGTAGAGGCTTCTTCAGTGACTTGAAATGTTTGTGCTTTGAGAATTGCCTATCTGCAGGCTTACCTAACTGACGGAAACAATTTCTCCTTTATTCCAAAACTAATGACAATTCCGACCGACGATGTTTATTCTCGTCAAAAAGACGAAATGACTGCCACCTCCATCAGGTTTCCGTCCTGCAATAGCCTCTACAGTCGTTTATTCGACTTCAACCGACAATTCTATAACGTCCGCAGGACGCGCTCAAATCGCAATATTCCTTGAGCTGATGTTTTCTCTTTTCCCTTCGACTTCGCCAGCGGAACTTCACCGGTCGCGAATATACACTAGGCCATCTTGAGCCTCACTTGCGAACGTCCGTTTCTCAGGCGAGATCGAAAGGAAGACGCTCTTTCAACTGGCCTTTGAAGACACGGAACCTTCTGAAGGTCCCGTTCGCAGGTACACCGCTTAAGCCCCAAAGGCTTTGCGAAGAGCGATCTCGAAGAAAGCAGCTCACCGCCTGGAATCTGGAGAGAGGAGCTGTCAGAGAGAGACACCAGTTGAAGAAAGGGGTAGGTTGCGACTTCACACGTCGCTGGTGGTTCTTTCTGGCAGCTTCTCGTTTGAAGTCTTCGAGTTTCGCTCTGTTGTTCTTTTGCTACCGACAACGGTTCGGCACTGAACAGCTCCTCTTGATGTTTTCGATGCAGCGAGAAAGATATGATCTCTCGGTGTACTCAAAGACTTCTTGCGATCTCTGATCAGGTTAGACTGTCTCCGCTAAACATCCTCTTGCAGTCGAATACGATCGAGTCAGCCATATAATACCAGTAGCTCGAACGATCTGCGTTGTCTCTGGGCTCTATAGCAGCGAGATTCTGGAAGAGAGCAAAGTATCCCTCGACGAAAAATATTATCGAACAGCGAAAACCGAAGTCAGCGACAAACTTCAAGATGACAGAAATGTTCCTTGGGATACCGCGGTAGGTGAACCATAGTTGAGGAAAGCCTAGGTGCTGACTGTATGTGGACCATGACCATAGCTATAGGAGTCTTCATACAAAGTGGAACAGCTCTTCTTTTACTTCCTAGACAACTCGTTTAACAGTGTGAAGTTACTTATCAGGCTTGCTACAGGAAGTGGACTCTCGAGATTTGCCCATGATTCGTCCAGTACATTTGTCTATATGCTTTCTGCTAATATTACCAGTCCATTCTCCAGGAGTACTAATGGGAGAACGCAAATAACTTTACGGGTCCGGTGTCGAGCTTCAAAAGGTTTTGAACGGCCTGAACACCTCTTGGAATCTTTACGCTGCTGCTACTCACCATGACTATTGCAGTCTCCAAGTATTCTGCAGTCATGGGATTCTCGGTACATGCTCCCAGACTCCTCACTACCTCGTCAGAGACTCATTAAAAATAGCAGAGGCGCCTTCGAAGTCAAAGGCAAGTCTCTCGATATATAATGGTGTGGGAATGATGGAAAGCAAGCCACAGACGGTTAATTCACTTATGATAGAAGATTGAAGAAGGAATAGACCGATACTAATCCGCAGGATGCTATTTAGAACGCCAAATTGACAACCGAATTGAATCATCGAGCTTCAAGTACCTCATTGCCGAATGCTCCTAGAGCAAACGAGAGAATAATCCATCCAACAAGCGAGCAAACGGACGGGCAGACGACAAAACGACCGAACGACCGAACGACCGAACGACCGAGCTATAAGCAAAATATCGAGCAAAATATCGAGAGATCGGGTACAATACCATGGATAAGCGAGGGACATAGCAGTTCTCAGTGAAGCCATTGCAGCAGTTAGAGAAACTAAGGGGCTAGGCTAAGTACTCTTTTATGAGGTCCGCCCCTCACTTTTACTCGCTGTGAAGCAGTTATATCAGTTTCGAGATGATGAGCACATGGAAGACCACAATGCTACAGGTTCAGGAGTAGAGCTATCACCCAGATCATTGCAGAGTTGTGGTGTTAGCATACTGCCCTGAGGGCATGCACACGTGCCCTGTCTTCCTAGGCCTACAGACTGTTCTCAGCGCTACATGTTGACAGCTCTGGAAGGCTCAGCCTCTTGGAAGCTTCATTGGGGCCAGAGCCTCTATCGGAAGTTCCGCGGATTGAGGTGCAAGGATTGAGGGGAAGTAAATTGCCCTTCTCAACACGGAAGGCCATTATGTGTTCCCTTGAAGGACAGTCTGTCAGTCCATGCCCGGTCGTTGTTCGAACCTTGTACGAGCCCACCAAGACCGCATTGACATCCGGAGTCCAGTTATAACTTCATCAACCTCTTAACAGCCCTGACTATGTTACATGGCTCGCAGAATTCCGTAGTAAGCAATGGAAGAGTGGCATATGTACGAGGTAGGCTCACCTCGAATATGCTCGAGGAGGGAAGTTCAAAATATGAATCATGCGCCCCTTTGTGGCAACCATGCGTCTTCTTACACGGCTAATGGATATGCCTTTAGGCAGCACGGACACGGAGTTCGCTTCGCTCAAGACCACGGACGGAATGTAACCGTGGGGTTTTGGCACCGACTCCAATGGCCAACGCGATTGAATCGGAGTTTTGAAGGGTTCTCAACACATATCTCCGACATATCCCTTTGTTATCTCGGCGTTTGCAGCTGTTGTCAGAAGTTAACCCGGTTACAAAAAGAATCGTTGCAATCGTATAAAAAAAATCAGTAGGCAGCTTTGCAATAGCCGCTTGAGAGCTACGAACCCATCAGACGCTGAGTTGCACACTTTCTTATAAGTATTTTATGCGTCCATGTATGTATTAAGCATAGATCCAAGGAGAAACTAAGTTTGATAACCCTATCATGACTTCTTACGCGTATTCTCCGTATTCTCCGGCATGCGTCTTTCATATAGCTAGGCTGCAATTAACCTCCCGTCTTACTCTCGCACTCGGACGCAATTCTGCCGTCCAGACACATCGCGGGGGCCGTTACAGAGATGAGAATCATTGATATGCATGACCACATGGAGGTCGCAGTCATAGTTTGCGTTGCCTCTCGGAACCTCACCGTCTGGTGTCATCGAAGCATTTGTTAGTCCTTAACCAGTTAGGTCGGTGACTATTTCAGTCACATCTTCGTTGCATGAAGTCATTCAGACGGCAGAGCCACTATCGGCGTATATTAACCTCTGCGGCTAAGCTCAAATTCGAATACTATAAATCGACCAAGCTCGCTCTAATTACCTCTTTTGTTTAGCCCGCAAACCGTGTTCACGACTGAATTACCCCAGTACCTGTGGAGTGGAGGAAGACGACTGGACACCCTGGGTATTCTAACCCTCTTATCCCGGATGGTAGCCGAGAACTGGGCACGTGAGGTGCCAATTCCTATAACATGGATGAAGGACAACGTTTTTCTCTTCTTCGAAACCTGGTATGGCAACGCTATAATGGTCTTTATCATCCTCCACTTCGGAATGCTGCCCTTTGAACGGACGACGCGGGCACATGGTCGCTCCAATCCAAGCCAGCAGCAACAGAGAACAGATTCCCCTGACGGATATGGGACGTTTATGCGAGACATGTTCAGGATAGAGAATACACTAGATTCGACCGAGCGATATCCCTTGTTCCAGCCGGTCGTCATGAGCACATACGTACCATCCATGGAACTCGACATGGATTTGCACAATTCGAATTCGACATTCTTCTCAGATCTTGATGTATGCCGAACCAAGCTGATGGGGCAGATTGTCGAGCCGGTATGGCCAATGGACGACATGGAGATTGAATACGAAGACCAGGATGGCAAAGACAAGCGGGAAAAGATCGAAGGCCGGCCAGCTATCATACTGGGTGCGACTCATACCTCTTTCAAGTACGAAATTGAGCCACAGACCACCTACAGGATCAAATCACGCATTTTAGGATGGGATTCCCGCTGGACTTTTGTGGGATCTTGGATCCTTGGCGATACTGAACCAAAAGGGGTGATTTATGCCACCAGTTTGGCAAAGTATGTCATCAAGAAGGGGAGCGTTACGGTCCGTCCGGAGCAATTCTTCACTGAATGTGGATGGCTTCCGCTTCGAAATGATCAAGGCCACAGAGAGATGCAGCTAACGGGTAAGGATAAAGTCTGGTCGTGGTTAGAAACCGAAGGATATGCAGAAAGCGGTATCACGGTCATCCGGACATGGAAAGAAGCAATTTTGCTTATGGAACAAGAGTATGAAGATTGACTATACCTTGTGGTTGGGAAGGGAAGAATAAATTGGGTACGATTACGAAGACTGCGGGCAAACGAGTGGTTTTCCATATACCATAGCTTCTATGCAATAGGCAATAATTGGTTCGAATTCTTACTCGGGAGTAACAATGATCCTGTAGAACTTGAGATCTGGGGAAAGCGATGTTATCACCCAGCGATCGTTGGCGTTACTGTAAGCTTCTCTCCATTTTTCTAGTCCGGAAGAGTCTAGACTACTTCTCATGCGGAAAGGTAAAAGTATACACTTATTCAGATCCTGTTATGCTTTGACAGAAAGCCACGGCTAGCAGCATTGTCATATCCTGGCGAAGGGGGCGTGCATGTCGGGGTTTGAGCAGCCTGTGAAGGATACCTAGGTGTGCGACATCCTCAAGCTATGCGAGCTGTTCATCGACTTACGAGAGCATCTAAGGGTACCCACCACTAGGAAATCTCTCGTCAGATCCTTATCGTAACCATCTGTGATTTACGGGAGGGCGCATGCATGAGCTATCTCTGATCCTAGAGGCCGATTTGTTGTATAAAGTACATACACCTGCAAAATAGATGATTGCATCAGGAATCAGGGGCAGCGCGCAGAGAGTAAGTCCTGATTCTGGTCTGTTGAGAGACGATTTCTTGCTCATTGTGAACTTGCAGTACCTCTATTGTATGCGAAGCACATGTTTTGAGAGAAGAGGAGATAGAGTCTATGCACAGTGCACCGTAAACGTCTTAACCGTGGGAATAGCTTCTATTTCCGCACAAATCAGAGCGCCTCTGCCGCCCTTCTTGTCAATTCCCCCCGCAAAGCCTTCTTTATTACTACGCCTAGCGAGTGCAACCAGATAAGTTGACAGCCAGTGTCAGAAGTTTGTCGGGACAGGGAGCCGATTCCGCTAGACGGTGGCGCTGGTCCCGCCATTCAATCACATCAAGTGGACGATATGAGCAAGCACGTTAAGAGGATCCGTCATGGCGAGATAATGGATACGGTAGGGACTAATCGCGGCCCTTGTCGACGGGACAGATGGGCAGCGAGAAGCTTTGTCGCTTCAAGGAGCAGAGAAGAAGGAAAAGAACAAATCAGTGCATATTCTGCCCTGCCGCGTCTGTGAGATGCAGGACTATCGAGAGCTCTCCAGTCTTCTCTTAAACTGCATTTCTGGTCCAAACGCTATAGAACTCGCGTTGTCTCTCCCCCCTGCAGCAGTTCAGGTCTCCAGTTCCCGATCCAGATAACGCACAAGGGACTTTTTTTCTGCCGTGCCGATTCGAGCTACACTAACACGTAACGATGCAAGGGCCTGCCTGATTGTGGTGGCGGGGATCTCGAAGCTCCAGCTCTTGTCGGCAAACTGATAAAGCGAGCTCAATCCACCTCCGAATTCGCTTCCATTTTCCTCCGCTTCTGCTTCTGCTCTGTGTGTGAAGCCAAAGCGAATACAACTGGCTATTGACCGTTGCCAGTTCCTTTTGCGTCTTCAACAATGGCAGTCTCCAAGCTGTCTCTGCTGCTGGCCGGCGTCGCTGGAGCTTCCGCCTACATCGCGGCGCCAGCAAGAGGCTATGGCCAAGAGCTGCTGAGCTCCATCGCGCACTCCATCGCACACCCCAAGCTCCAGTGCGAGTTGCCACCCGTTCTCGATCCCAAGGGCGATGGTCTCCCTTCCGCCGACGAGCTCTTCTCGTCCGACTCGGCGCGAGATCTGCAGGTCAAGCGCCTTCAGGCCATCGTGCAGGTCCCCTCTGTCTCGTACGACGACCTGGGTCCCGTCGGCGAGGATGAGCGCTGGGCGCCCTTTTTTGACCTCCACGATGTCATCAACAAGACTTTCCCCAATCTGTGAGCCGGATTCTTCTTGTTCCGAAGTCCGTCTGACCAAGCTTCTAACAGCCAAACAGGCACAAGAAGGCCAAGGTTGAAAAAATCAACACTCTCGGCCTCCTCTACACCATTAAGGGTTCCGACGAGTCGCTTAAGCCGGTGCTGTTGATGGCTCACCAGGATGTCGTCCCGGTTGCTGATGAGTCGACATGGACGTACCCGCCATTCGACGCCGTGTACGATGGCAAACTGATCTGGGGCCGCGGAACATCAGACGACAAGAACAGCCTCACCGCGGTCCTGTCGGCTTTCGAGGCTCTGCTGTCCAACGACGACTGGGCGCCGAAGCGCACCTTTGTGCTCGCCTTTGGATTCGACGAGGAGTGCTCGGGCTACCGTGGCGCTGGTGAAATTTCCGCCGTCCTCAAGGAGCGATACGGCAAGGACAGCTTTGCCGCCATCCTGGATGAAGGCGGCCTCGGCCTGCTGGAAGTTGGCAACGCCCTCTATGTTCTCCCAGCCGTGACCGAAAAGGGCCACATTGACATCTTCTTCGAGCTGGACGTTGTCGGTGGCCACAGCTCGATTCCCTTCCCTCACACGGGCATCGGCATCATTGCCGAGATCATCACCGAGCTCGAGTCCCACCCCTTCAAGGCTCAGCTGATTGAGGATGGCCCGGTGCACAACCACCTGCAATGCCAGGCTCGCTACTCGCCCGACGCGCGTCCGGAGCTGACAGAGCTGGTTCGCCAGGGTGACTTGGAGGGTCTTACCCAGTGGCTGGTCAGGGACGGCCGGTCCACGCAGTACGTTGTCCAGACGTCGCAGGCCGTCGACTTCGTCAACGGGGGGCAGAAGATGAACGCCATGCCGGAGAAGACCATTCTGGGCGTCAACTACCGAGTCGCCCACCACAACAGCCTTGCCGAGGTGCAGCACAACGCCGTTCGAAGAGTCGCCAACATTGTCAAGAAGTACGGCCTGACGCTCAAGCCCTACGAGGGCGACGACGACTACGAGAAATATGTCGCCGGCCTGGGACCTGAGGAGAAGGCCGTCGAGTCGGAAGAGGTCATCGACTACAAGGGCACGCTGATTCTGTCGACCAGAGGCAAATCCCACCCCAGTCCCATTTCTCCCACGAGCGGTGCCGCCTGGGACGTGTTTGCCGGTACCGTTCGACACACCTTTGCGTTTGACAATGGAACTGTTGTTCCCACGGGGGAGATTATGACGGGCAACACGGACACCCGCCACTACATTGGTAAGGCAATCATTGTCGCTGGTGGGAAAGGAGCCCTACTAATAAATCGTGATAGGTCTTTCGGAGAACATTTGGCGCTTCACCCCTGACCGATTCCATGCTGAGAACAACATCCACACGATCGACGAGCATTCGCGGGTGGATGGACACATTGAGATGCTCAAGTTTTACTACGACTTTGTGCGCAACTTTGACGCCGCCACCAAAATCTAAGATATGAAGAAGATGCTCAAACAAACTGGTATATCTTGTATATTGGATGAATTAATGAAGAATGAAAGTATCAAGCCTCTGCATCTTTCAGTAGCTCTTTGTCCAAAGATCCACATGCGTCCGGTGTCGGGTGTAATGCCGTGTCTTCTCAAGCGAATCTCATGAATACAACACACCGTCACAGACCCTCTAACCACAATCCATCCCCAGATCCTTCAACAAGGCATTTCTTTGCTCACAGACCAATCTACTTCCCAAAAACAAGGCTAGGCGTAATATTACCCCGTGTCTCTCCCGGATTCCGTAGCGTCTTCCATTTCTTCTTCTACCCCAAATTCCCCCACAACATCTCGAGGCACCAGGTACCAACGGCCTTCCATTGCGCCCCTATCCGGCTCATCGAAATAAGCCGAGGGTAAATCGGACAGTCCTGATTCGCTGCAAAAGCTGGGGAAAGGCTCAGCATCCCCCACATGCTGCCGAAAACGCCCTCCGATGGTGCGCGTGAGCCGAAGCTGGTGATTTCATTGATTAACAAGCCCTACCAAGACGAAGTTGAAGTGAGAAGGAAATAGGACACCCTTTGACATCCGCGGAGCTGAACCTTGACAGCTTTCCTGGGACATACTCGGATCCCCATGAACAGGATTCCCTTCATGCCATCTTGTCTGCTACATACCGAGGGTCCCATTGAATCTCTGATCTCCATCCATTTCCCCGGATTGGAGACTCCACATCCCACCATCACAGGCACGGCTAAGACAAAACTTCCCCAGACCACCAAAGCTTCAACCCACAAACCTCCCCTTCCAATCGCCACAGACCAAAATTCACAAGCACAAGTCAAGGCAATGGGCTCTTCCAAATCCGAAGAAGAAACATCGGGCTCCAGCTCCCCATTGTCGCGCACCCGGCTGCGCGCAAGCCACGCCTGCACCGTCTGCCGGATACGCAAAGTGCGGTGCGATGTCGTCGTCACCGGCTTCCCGTGCACAAACTGCCGGCTGGACTCGGCCAACTGCAAGGTCATGCCGAGGAAGCGGAAGTGGTATGTTATGTTTGCCCCCATCGAATGTAGAGGAGAGGGGGTCCTTGAACATGGCAACTCAGCTAATTCGTGATGATGATGAACAAGGGAGCAAAGGGTGAAGCGGGTGCTTGAGCAGGAGGAAAAGGAGCGCAGAGATCGCTCACGGCAGCTTGTTGAAGAGAGGGCCAGGGCTTCCATCCACATCAGCTCAACTGCAAAGGCGCACACAGAGGTGAAGCCTGATCCCACACGGCTCGCCTCTTCCATCTCTCCCCCCATGACCGGCGCAGCATCGACAATACCGGTGTATGATCAAGACAACGCAGACGCTCACTTCAACGCCCCGAAACTCAACTTCGTGTTCAGTGACGGCACCATTGACCCGAGCAAGATCGAGGGGCATCCCAGCCATGACGGCTGCAGCAATCTCAATTCCTGGGCGCCTGAATTTGACAACCTCTTCGTGCCCTACTCCAGCTACAACTTCATCGACGCCGGCTTCCTCAATCAGCTCAGTCATGCCGACGTCTCCTACCTCACAGAAAAGGGCTGCCTCACCTTGCCTCCGGAGAAGGTCCTGGAAGAGTTCTTCCACCAGTACTTTTCACACATCCACCCCATCATCCCGCTACTCAGCGAGGCAGAGTTTTGGGCGGTAGACGCTCGCATTCCTCTGCTCTTGGTTCGGGCGATATTGTTCATTGCGTCTCCTGTAAGTAATGGTCAGCTGTGCCTCGTTCAATATACTCATGGCTAATATGATTCAAGTACGTATCAACGTCAACGGTGCTCAGCCTTGGTTATAGCAGTGTACAAGAAGCTCACACTGAGCTTTATACAATAGCAAAGGTCAACAAACTCCATAACTCACAAGCCCCATGTCTGTGTCTAACATATCTTCAACAGACTTTGATGCAATTCGACATCCACCGAAACAACGTCGTCAACGCGCAAGTAGCCGTCATGCTAACCTACCACTCCCCCACAACAAGCGACACAACGAACACATACTGGATGGTAAACGCCGTTCATTACGCTCGCTGCGCCCGAGCAGACCAGTACCACACCCTCAGCGACGACAACCCGCGGAAACTGCACCTCAAACGACTCTGGTGGGCCTGTATCTTACGAGACAGGATATTGTCACTGAGCTTACGCCGACCGTTAAACATTGGATGCGACGAATTCGACTTTAGCCTTCCAGGCCTCAGCCTCGCCGACTTCTCGGATGAGATCGAAGTCTCGACGGTATACGACCGGCCGACGAAGCAAATCCTAGCACACATGATGGCGGCGTTCTGCGAGCTCATCATTCCCCTCAACAAGGCCCTTACCATGCTCCATCCCGCAGCCGGGCCCAAGACGGTCACCTCCGAGACGGACATTCAGAAGGAAACAGATGCCTGCGTCGAGACTCTGCAGCTTTTGGATGTCTGGTACCAGAAGACAAGGGAGCGGTTCGAGATTTCCACGCCATCAATTGGCGTCCACAAGTCGCTGACAATGTTCACCAAGATGACTTTCATCTACTATTAGTAAATCTGCCCCTCCCGAGGATTCGATTGAACAAACAAGAGCGTACGTACGCTGACACATCTTTTGCCAGTTCTGCGAGGGCAAGCTTATGCTACCACATGATGCTGCTATCCGTGTCCAACCCCCGCCACGCGTCCGATCAAAAGAACGATCTCCAACTGCAAGCAGAAATGGACTCTGCATTGAAAGGCATCACAGGGATATTCATGCACCTGGCTCGCCTAGGGCTCGTCCAGTACCTCCCAAACACATTGTAAAGAGCCCCCGTCTTGAAAAGCATCTCTATCATTTCCCCTTTTTGCTCCGGTAACGCTGACCTTGAATGCCCCAGTGTTGCCCTCTCGGCCATTCCGCTCATCTGGCAAGTCCTCGACGCCAAAATCCTCAACACGGGAACCCTCGCTGCGGACAACAAGCGCGACCTCATGGTCTACACAAACGTCATGAACAAGTTCCGCAGCCTCCACGAAAACGCCGACAACGTCCTCAAGTTCATCAAGCAGATCATCGCACACATCCAGACCACCGAATCTGTCGACATCACGCAGCCAGACCCCCTCTCAGCAGCGCCGCCACCGGCAGCAGCACCATCCGAAACGTACTTTCCACCAGAGCTATTGTCGAATTTCGCACAGGGGGGCAACAAGACACGGCAGCAGCAGCAAGAGACGGACAGCAGCAACAAAACCATTGGCGGCGGCGTTGATAGTTCTTCCACTACCACTGGTGGCGGGCCGCAGAGCAAATGGGCGAAATTGTTCGCCGGGAAACCAAGGACATATCTGAGAATCGCATTGACGATCCAGCATTCGCTTTCGAGCGGCCATTTCCCGTCGGAAGAAGACTTTCCAAAGGCATTGCAGATGGTCAAGTTTGCTGAGGAGACGATGGACAATGGGATCGATGTTGGGTTGTACAAGTATTTGCAGCATATGGAGGACTTTCTGCTGTCTGCCTAGCTCTATAGGGAATCGTAAGACTTGACATCTTGCAGAGTAACTTCCGTAAGAGCTTACCATACCTGCTCGCATATCTTACGCCGTGGTAAATCCAAGAACCTGGTTCTATGACATCTTCTACGCCGTTTTCCTTCAACATTATATGAAACTCTATACGAGTAACACCCCTCACAACTCACCAAAGCGCCGGCAATACCCATTTGATGTTGTCTAGTTCGAATGGCCTCCAGACTGGACATCTTCCTTGGAATATCCCTCGGCCGTCAATGATTGTCCATTGATAGTGACGGGTTTGGCAGCTATTGCGGCTGTGAGCATGTCTCCCCGCCTACTCAGTGGTCATTGGCTTACCGGATAGGATAAAGTAGATTCGCGCAGGCTTGTCTGTGTTGTTGGTCCATCCGTGTATTGTGCCGCGCTGAACGCAGACGTCGCCTGGCTTCATGTGAATCTCAACATCGTCGTCAAGGTGACTAGACACAAAAGCCAGACAGTCAATTCGTTGCAATTGTTCTCAATTCAGGCATCACCATGCGCTCCATCAAGATGCAAACATACCAAATCAGTTCCCCGCTGAACAAGATGCCGAAATCCAGCGACTCGGTTCGATGGAACATCATCTGGTCAGTCAAACGCCCCCCCATCGTCAGCATCAGCACCAGCAAGCATCACGATCTGAACCCCTCCTCGAAAGACGACCCCGCCTCGAAAATCAACTCGCGGCAGAAGGGGAAAAAATCTCCATAAGCATACATACCCCTGCCTTCTCCACATTCGGCGGGATGTCGACAACCCGGAGGACGACGCCCTTGCCATTCGCCAGGTCCTTTGTCCGGACCTGGGTCGGGTCGACCCATTCGTCATTGGACGCCGGGAACTCGTGCGTCTCGTACAGCACGGCGAAGTTGGCGCCCAGGGGCGTCGGCAGGCAGGGCACCGGCCCGTCGGCCACGACGACGGCCTTGCCCTGCTCGTTGTGGCCGGTGACGATGCGTCTGGGGTCGGGGAACCAGGCAGGCATGGTTGTGAATTGGCGAGGTGAGAGCTGTTGTTGAAGGTGGTGGAGAGGAGGGAGAGACCAAAGGGAAAACAAGAAGCACGACTCGGGGAGAGGCTTGATTAACGATCAATCCCTACCGTCTTAGTCTGACTGCGAACAAAGCAGCTGCATTCCGTGGAATAGTTATACTGCAAATCACATGACGTCCAAGACAGCCAACGTGGCATTCCCGCTACGCTTCTTTATGCGGTGTAGCTGCAGAGACGAAACCGGGCATGCCAACACTTTGGCGTCGCTCGTTATGCGCGATGACATTGAATAGAAGATGCAAAGCCAGTCAAAAGTAGGTGGCTCAACAAGACGATGCGCAAAGCGGGCTAAAAGCCATGCAAGGCTCGACTATGTACATGTATGTGTGTGCCTGATGAAGAAAGTGAAGCTTCCATTCCGATTCGACATGCAGTCTTGATGCCATGCTCTCCCGTCATTTGTTGAGGAATCTAGGGTGGCTGCTCCGGCTAATAGGGCTTCATGCGCGCTCCTACAGTATGTATTATGCGGGGTGCCATGTTGGGAGCGGCAAACGTGGATAAAGGGATTGACGGCAATGGCCTAGCACAAAAGAAGATGAAACTTGCGCCTTATCTGACAGTCGGTATGGTGGTGTAACGCGACGATAGGGCAGAGCCAATGGAAAGTGAGGTTTCCCTCTGTGTGGTGTTACATCTTTGGTGCTGCAATATACGGCATTCTGTTTTAGACACATGTAACGCGCGATCCGCCCCAACAAACTCGCGGGATCTAAGTGTGTATGTAGCATGCTTACTTTGTACTGGCTATAGGTTATGTATGAGTCGAAGCATCTGTAATATGGCGACAGTTAGGGAGGAACGGTTGTCATGAGATTGAATGCAGAAGTAGACGAGCTGAACTACAGTCTTGGCCACGTAAAACATGACAAGTCTTGGTTGCTTTTCTCTCCAGGCTTTTCAGCTTTCGTCAGCATTTGTCACTTGGCTCATCTCAACAGCCGCCAAATCCATCAGAGTGTACGAATACACAAGGAGAAAACCAAGAAACGATTTCAAGCTCTTTAACATCTGTGGAGAATGTTACCGACTGTAGAAGTAAGCAAAGCCATCACGATTCAAAGCACACTATTTTTATGCTTATTTCCCCGAATCAGCCACGTCCTGCTAAGAAAGCACGCTGAAGTACCGCCATCCCGAAGCCTCACTCGGGGTTCTCCACGAGACAAGGCACGCACGTGAAGCATCATACAATTTGCATCATTCGAGAAGGATAAAAGAAAGACTTCCCTCCCTGCATACACGTACATGAGAGTCCCCGGTGCATGTAGAGCAACATGTATGACAGCGCACATACAATCAGCCCGTATTCAGGAGAGTCGTTCGCCTCGACTCCGATGTCATGGCCGACATTGACACAAACTGAACGATATCACCACCCTAAACAATCCTATGACCGCGCGAACGGAGATAAGTGTCTCTGGGTACTACTATCTATAATGTAGGTTATTTTGTCTCTTGTCCGCCCCTAGTCTATCATTGGCTTCTGGCTCTAGTTTACGAAATTTATCTTGCACGCTTTCGGTAGTCAAAGCTGTCAGCATCACCCGCCGATACCCAAGACGGCAGTCAAGGCTGTCATCAACATCCACTCCTAACAACATCCATGTCGAACCCTCGCTATTCAATCAATCTTCTAAGCCAAAGGGGCAGTACGATTGGTCGAAGAGACATTACAACTCGTCTGCTTTCCAAGGCTCTCATGAATAGCCAATATGTACCTATCTGTCACTGCTATACAGCTCGTGGACCATTATACAGTAACCTCTTGTATAGCAAGCCGATTTGCCCTACATACTAATCCCATCACCCTTGTTACACCAGGTCTTAACATCCATATCACCACCCATGTCCACATACATACTACACGAGATATAGAGATGCTCTAGTCTATCACCTAACCGGATGCTATTCATCCGCCAGCTTGGAGTTTTCGGCCTTTATTGCCGATCGAGTGGGGTAGCCGGCCCCCCGGATGCTTCACGGTCCGCTCCAACAGCCTTGTATTCGAAGTCCGCAAGCAGGCTTGACAGCTGTTAACCCCGGGCCAGTTCAAGACTCTCTTCCGCCGTTATTTGGCGTCAGCAGCGTATCGACCCAGGGAGAGTTGCGACGACTAACAGAGAGGCAAATCACCCCTAGAGGCCAGAGAGACGACAAACATGTGTCACAATGCACGCAACACAGAGTCCTCATAGTTGCACCACCTCCGAAAATCTTCGGAATCAATCTGTGGTCAGGCAAGGAGTGTCGTCCCAAGCAATTCGAATCACATGTCACCACCATTGCATGGGGTGGTGGTGCCATCCATGCACTTTCTCCTCCGTCGTCCAAGCAATCGTCAAAAATCCGCTGCGAAAAGACAAGTGGAGTTTTCGCTGCAACAGTTCAATTTGGAACTACCTAAACTGATCAATAGCGCAGGTATTGAGGTGGTGCATATATAAAGCCCAATCTCAGAGGCTGCAATGGCCACTTCTCAACAACTCGTCAACAGTCTTCATCAATTGGACTTCATTCAGCGTCAATTGTCTTGCTACGCGCGTGCGCCACCATAACGAATTGCGATACCACATCACGATAGAAGCTATCCGACCACAGAGCGCCGTCATCTCCTCAACCTCAGCCTCGTACTATCACCATGGGCCAATTTATGAGCAATGTCATTACCCAAGGCTGGCCTCCGAAGCCTACCTTTACCGAAAAGGAACTGGGAGACATTGCTGGAAAGGTCAGCCATCTTGCCGCAAGAGAATCGATATTTCGAGCCTTCATACTGACGCCAAGTGTATTTCACAGGTCGTCATCGTCACCGGCGGATACTCAGGCGTCGGCTACCAACTCTCCAAGATCCTCTACGCCGCAAACGCAACCGTCTACATCGCCGGCCGCCGCGAGCAAGTCGGCTTGGACGCTATCAAGTCCATCGAGGAAGCTCACCCCGACTCCAAAGGACGGCTCGAATTTCTGCAGCTCGACTTGGCCGACTTGTCCACCATCAAAGCCAGCGCAGACGCTTTCCTTGCAAAGGAGTCTAGACTCGATGTCCTCTTTAACAATGCGGGAGTCATGAATGTGCCAAAGGGCGACTCTGGCCTGACGAAGCAGGTTGGTCTCCTGTGCTCGCTATTCAAGAGCATGATTGAAGCCGAGATAGTCTAACGTGTACTGTTTAGGGCCACGAATCCATGGTTGGAGTCAACTGTCTCGGCCCATACCTCTTTACCAAGCTCCTCCACCCATTGCTTGAATCAACAGCCAAGACTTCGCCGCCAGGAAGCGTCCGTGTCGTCTGGCTCGGATCCATCATGATACAGCTGATGGCGCCCAAGTACGGCATGGACATTGACAACTTCGACTTCAAGAAAAACAAGCCCAATCTCACTGTCCGATACTCGATCAGCAAAGCTGGCAATCTGTTTATTGGCAGCGAATGGGCCAAGCGAGATGCCAAGACGGGAATTGTACATGTGGTACGTTGAGCACATCATGGATCTCATTTACAAGGGTCTTACCGGTTCTGACTTGTTGCTGCACTACACAGACTGTGAACCCCGGCAACCTCAGGACGCCTCTCCAGCGCGGCATGTCCGTGTTTGAGCGTTATGCAATCGTAAGTCATCTCACATCGCAAAGTACCTCATATAAGCGTGATTGCTCACTCCAAACCCCAGACATTGCTTCTCCACGAACCCATCTACGGTGCCTACTCGGAACTCTTCGCGGGCCTGTCGCCAGATGTCAGGCCAGAGGACAGCGGACGATTCATCATTCCCTGGGGCCGATTCGGCACGACGCGCCCAGACATTGACGCAGGTGGCTTGGTTTCTCAGAACGGAGAGCCTTCGCGGGCGGCCAAGTTCTTCGAGTACTGCGAGGACCAGACAAAGGCTTACGCGTAAGGGCTGGCTCCATGGCGATGAAACGGGGGCGATGTCGTGATTTTGTGGCTTGGTTTCTATTCTTGAGCGAAGGGAGGTTGCCAATGGCAAGTTACTGTTGTTCTTGTTGTAATATTATATCTTTCGAAGATCAATTGAGCGTCGTCATCTTTCTCTTAAGAGAAACAATCTGTTACTATGACGTTGGAGGGTGCGGCTATCCAAGACCGTGACTTATCATGAAACCAAACATTGTTCACTGCTTGGGACATTCTGTGTCGAAAATGCCCGATTGTCACCTACCGATACGCAGGTCAAGTGCCTGTCAAAGCAAGGGAGCAGGAAAATAAAAAAAAGAAACCTTGCCCCTGACGATCCATGTCCTTGGAGTCCAAATTGATTCAGCGCACCAATTGCTGTCGGCAGATCCTGATCTCGCTACATGATTGATACGCCGTGGGACTGACTGAGCCATGAGAGGGTTACGCATGCGAGAACGACGACTGAGACAAAAACGCAATTGAGCACGAAGCACGTTGTGAAGGAGGACGACACAGGGTTGCGACCAAGATGCGGGTCAAATTAGACAAGATCGTCGGCGGCTTCCACAGTCGAGACAGGGTTTCAAGGAACTGTCGCAGATGGTGTATCAAACAAGATTCACTCAATCTTCATGGATCGTAAGACAGAATCTGGTGATGGTGGATGGATGCGATGCGTAGGAGCAGATTGGATCTGTGCTGTGTAACGTGTGTCGGCATGGCGCAGCAGGGCTGAGAACGGCTGTTGATACCACGTTCGTCCAAGATCCTTGGCATGCAGGCACGGCAGATGCAGAGTCATGTACTCACAGATTCGCCACAGGAGTCATCTCGGATCGAGCAATCCAGGAACGGACGGGGGATACTGTTTGCACGAGACAGCGTTTCGAGTCACTACCTCCGGGCCCCCTGAATGAATCGTAAAAGGCCACCCTCCGTCCGTTGGGCATTCTCAGAGCAACGAGTTCCTGATAAACAGCTCTTCCGGGAACCAATACGAGCTTCCAGTAGCTCTGGTGGATGGACGGGCAAATCATGGAGATATGCTATTAATATCCAAGATAGGTCCCGCCGCCGCTCAGGAGCGTGACAGACAAAGATTTTCCGGGCGTGCCTTGGAAGTTGGAGCCGCCGACGTGGGCCTCCGTTGGCGGTGGGTTCCGTGATGTGCTTCGTGCTTGGTGCTAAGCTTTCCGGGCTCGGTCCGTCCAGGGCCCCCTGATGGAAGCTTCGGACAGGGGTGATGCGGGCCAAAGAGCCGGGAGCTGTTTTATCTGAGCTTGGTTTGGTTGCTTGTTTTCGGACTCATGCGAGCTGCTGTTTGTTGGGCATCAATGCAATCAAGATACCACAGCTAGTGGTGTTTCAAATCGGCGGAAACCATATCAACTGCCGTGATAGTCAGTCGTACGGCTGACCTGTTGGCTGTCCAGAGCCAGGGATCGGATCGGTGAGAGCGACGCATAATTTTGCATGATAGTATACGAAGCAGGAAGCTCCTGATATTAGATATCATCTGAGCTGACAGGCACAGATAAGCTGCTGGACACTATCCGATAGGCCCGATCACGACTCAAGATGCCCGGCAGAAGCATTCGAGAAGATAATCTAGACAACGTGAAGCTTGATTGGCGTACAATAGCCAGATGCTGGCGTTCCATGTGGCGAACCTGGATGGACCCCTAGCAGCCTCTTATCGAAGCTAATGATACGTGGCGAGCTAATTGTGCCGGAATCTTCAAGCCAAGCCGGTCAAATGTAGGTGCCTGACAGGGCGGCTTGCATTGTCTAAAGCAAAACCGGAAGAAAAGTGGTGCGGATGGCGTAAACAGAAGATGCTAGCACCACCGTATCATCGCCACCGGGCGTTTGTTGCCGTGTCCTGACATCCGTATAAGCCGGGCCATTCGGACGTCGATGGAAGCGCGGAACTGGTGACTGAGCCTCAGCAGACAAACACAACAACCAAAAGACGTGAAGAAAGAAGAAATGACGTGGGAATCGAGGGCAATGGAAACGCCGTGGTGTCAAGATGACATCTGTGGTGCAGCGATAGAGTAAGAGGCTGGTGAAGCGATTCGCGGCTAACAGGCACCGTCTCAAGCCCCGGAGCATTGCTGGAGAAATCCATTCGCCCTGGTGAATCTGCACGTGCGATAAGCCCACGCGGCCAAGCCCAAACAGGCAACCCGAGCCCTGCCTCGCCAGCAGGATCTTGGCCAGCAGAACCGCTTTTCCGCTCCACCTGCAAAACTTCTCTCCATCACGCCCATCTGCTCGACCCGCCTTTTGTGTCCTGTTCGCTTCGTATTAGTATTGCTGCTATTTGCGATCTTATGCCTCTATGCGCCCGAATCGCCGGCCGCGCCGCTCAGACTACCGATTGGACTAAGCTCGGCACGTTGCAGCTACGACGTTCCAAGGGAAGGCGAGCCGGGATGGCTGACCGAGAGGAGAGACTATGGCTTGTTGGCTTGTATGGCAAGTCATGGCAAGTCATGGCAAGTCATGGCAAGTCATGGCAAGTCATGGCAAAGCAACCGGTGGCAAGCGCGGGCAGGCTGAGTGACAGCTGAGTGACAGCGAGGCCGATCATCAGATGAACTGGTCACCGTTGCGTTGATCGCGGAAGCCAACTGGATCTTGCCGTCAGACCAGCCGATCACGTCAAAGCAAACGATGGCTGGCGGGCAGTACGGGATACTATGGAGCAGAAAGTATGGCGAGCATACAGCAGAAGCACGGCATGATGATGGAGAACGGAGAGAATGGAGCAAAGACGGCAGGGCCAAGGGGGAGCGAAAACCGGGGATGGAGGAGAAGTGGCTTCCGCCCATGTTCCTGACTCTGCAAGCCGCTTTGCTCATTTTTCACCCCCCTCGCCTCGCCTCGCCTGCCTCTTCTTCACCTCCGGCATGCTGCTCGACGTTGGATTCCTCCTCGGCAATCCCCCCACCCTCCGTCTCGCCATCGTGGCTGTAATTGCAAATCTAACTGGGTCCGGGACCCAGACAAGCTTTTCTGCTGGCTGACACGATACCCAACCGGTATCAAGGATCACCACGCCTAAGGGGGGGGAGCAGACATTCCAGACCAGTGCCAGATATCCGGCCCCAAGCCAAGCGCTCATTACTCATCTTCCATTTTCTTCTATCGTTTATTATTTACATGTGCTCATGCATCTGCGATTACCCCGTCTTCTTCAAAACTACTATGCTCCCTCGTCTCCCTTCTTTCTGGCTCGAAGCCCCTCCGTAAACCCTGAGACAGGTCTCAGAGCCGACCGCACTGGCAGTTCGGCACCCCACAACAATGTCAACAGATCCCAAAGGGTTCGCAGACGCCTACGATATTCCTACGCCGCTCCGCAAGGGTAAGAAGAAGGTTGGATGGAGAGAAGATGGATCGGGACAGGCATCGGAGAGGTCATCAGCAAACCTCTCAGCTGGCCCGGCCGGCAGAGCGGCTGTCTCTCCCAGCAGCGGCGACTTGCTCATGAGCGCGGATGCGCCTTCATATTTTGAACACTCACCTCTGGCATCGCCAATCCCGCGAGACACATCCACTCCCCCCGGAGCCCCAGACGCCCAGGAATTGAGACTTGCCTTAAACAAGGTGCTGCTGACTGAGGAGGAGAGACAACCGTTCCCTCATCCGCAGACGTCACCGGCAGCCACACCGAACACTGGAGAAGCTTCTGCGGTCCCGAGATTTCCCAGGCCTGCCCTTAGGCGCAACACCAGCTACAATGCCCAGGAACAGGAGGAAGCAGACCAGGCGGAGAAGCATGCCACGGAGCGGCAGCTTCGATCCATGACCGACGCACGGCAGCGCGCGAATCTGTTGGCCGTGTCGGTTGGCGCGCTCTACTCGCAATCTGCCCCGGGATCGAGACGCAACTCCTTGGAGCGTGAACGGTCATTCCAGCAAGTCTCAGACGATCATGATCCAGACCTGGATGACGCTGCTGTCCTCTCTCCTTATACGAGCAGTACTCCTATTCTCAAGGAACCTACCAGCACACACACCACCACTCATCGCACCCCCCATAGCTCCCGTTTGTACCAGCCATCCGAAAAGCATGAGGAACGTGAGGACCATGAGGAGCACGACAGAGCGCAGACGCTGCTCAACTCCCATGCTAAAAACCACCTGTTCCACCCGCATCACTCGCCGACGTCCGGACGAACAACTCCCGTGACAATGCAGAACTACGTCCAGGACTACGTCCCCCGGCCCGTTTCGTATCGTGGAGGAATCCTCTCTTCGCTGCTCAAGCTTCATATGCGCGATGAGAACGGCGCCAACCACAATCCAAGTAGCAGCGGGTTTACCACTCCGACTACTGCGCCCTCGACTCCCATGATGTCGCCGAATCCCTCGCCCCCGTCCTCGAGACGCCCCTCAACCGTCAGCACCGTCCGATCGCGCTCCTCCAGCCGGCTGAGAGGCTACCACAAGTCTCACGGCTCCACCTCGTCGATTGCCTTGTCCGAGCTGCTCAAGTCGTCGTCCATGTTTGCTGCTCCGGGATCCACGGAGATCTCGGATCGTCTGGTGGAGAAGATGAAGAAGGCCAAGTCGGGAAGGCCAAAGAAGGACGACGTTCGAATCAAGGTCCACATTGCTGGCATCATCTCACGCCACAGGTACCTGCTGAAGCTATGCCGCGCCCTCATGATGTATGGCGCCCCGACCCACCGCCTCGAGGAGTACATGGCGATGTCGTCGCGAGTTCTCGAAATCGAGGGCCAGTTTTTGTACATACCATCCTGCATGATCATCAGCTTCGACGACAGCACGACACATACGGCGGAAGTCAAGATTGTCCGAGAACCCCAGGGGATTGATCTCGGCCGCTTGCGAGATGTCCACAACGTCTACAAGGATGTCGTCCACGATAAGATTGGCGTGGAGGAAGCGACTCGCCGCCTCGACGAGGTCATGAAGCGAGGTCCCAAGTTCAAGACCTGGTTCCGTGTCTTCATGTACGGCCTTGCTTCCGTTTGCGTTGCTCCTTTTGCCTTTGAGGGCCGCTTTATCGACCTGCCCATTGCATTTATCCTGGGCTGCCTGGTTGGCATCCTTCAGCTGGTCCTCGCTCCTAGTAACCCGCTATACTCCCACGTCTTTGAGGTTTCCGCTGCTCTCGTCACGACCTTTTTGGCTCGCGCCTTTGGATCGATTCAGGGCGGAAAGCTGTTCTGCTTTAGCGCTCTGGCCCAGAGCAGCATTGCCCTAATTCTGCCCGGTTACATGGTCCTCTGTGGATCCCTCGAACTCCAAAGCCACAACATCGTTGCCGGCAGCGTCCGCATGGTCCACGCGGTCATCTACACCCTCTTCCTCGGCTACGGAATCACTATTGGAGCTTCCTTGTACGGCATGCTGGACAGCAACGCGGCGAGTGCGACCCACTGCAACAACCCGCTCAGCGACAACCGCGGATGGAATTTCCTCTTCGTTCCAGGCTTCACGCTATGCCTCTGCATTATCAATCAAGCCAAGTGGAAGCAAACGCCGGTTATGACCCTCATGTCCATTGCGGGCTTCTGCGTCAACAGCTACTCGAGCACCTTCTTTGAGAGCAACAGCCAGATCTCCAACATGCTGGGCGCCCTTACGATTGGTCTCTTGGCCAATCTGTACTCGAGACTTGGCCGACACGTGCAGAACGCCTGTCTGGACCTTGCCGAGTGGTGGCAGGCGCGCGTCCAGCCGAGGTTTTCTAAGAAGAAGCCGCCGATGCCTCCGTTGCCCGACGTCGAGTCCAGCGCAGGACCTACCCCGGAAGAGCCAGAGCGAAAGCCCAGGAAAGTGGGCTACAGCCTTGCCGCCGCTGCCATGCTCCCGGCCATCTTCGTCCAAGTGCCCTCCGGTTTGGCAGCGAGCGGTTCGCTGCTGGCTGGCGTCAACTCGGCAAATCTGCTCAACAACAACACGGCCCATTCCTCCGACAACCAGGTCGATGGCACCGCCTTTACTGTTTTGTTGAGCGTCATTCAGGTGGCAATCGGCATCAGCGTCGGCCTGTTCATGAGCGCCCTGATTGTCTATCCCGTGGGCAAGAGGAGGAGCGGATTGTTCAGCTTCTGATGCACCCATATGGCGGTTGCAGTTACTTGATTTCTCTCCTTGCTCTTTTTTTTTTTTCAACCTCTTCTCTTTCTTCTTCATTCCTTCAGCATTGGCGCGCAGTATCATTACCACAATTCTTCCATTTGTTTTCATAGGGTTCTTTTGGTCTGGAGTTTATACAACGCTCACCGTACAGAGGCTGGGAGTTCGGGGGAGTACTACGGATACTCTTCATACAATGCGGCTTCATATACAGCGATGCGGGCATCCATACAACAGAGCAAGCGGTCCTTATTTACTTTGTTTTACTTTCATTGGCTTTGGTCGAGTTATTTAGCGTGTTTGGTGTTTCCTTCCAGGCAGACGGGAGTTGCGGGGGTTTCTTTGTCATATACGCAGCAGGTGTTTTGGTCCATTACAACAGATTTTCTGGCATAAGAACATACACAGAATAGATACGGAGTAGCTTTTCTACATTATCATACTTATTTCAAGATCACCACATGAGTAAACCACAGGTTCGCAGTGATTCGTTGGGAAGCTCTTGGGCAGAAGTGAGACTGTGTCGTGATGAAACGCGGGTCACTCTCCTTCAATAAGAGTACTTTGGATTGTCATTTGTCTTCACTTTACCGTCTTGTGCACGCCCCGTTTCTTCCCGCCATTACCGCTTATCGTACCCCCCTTACCGGCATATACTACATAAGTTCCAAGGGAGAGCCGCTGGAATGAAGGGACTGAAACGGTCCTCACAGCCACGTGTTTACGAAGGTCAGCTGGGTCTGAAGCAGACATCTTTGTGCAGTCAGACTGAAATGACGCCTGGGGAGGGAATGTACGAGGTTGGAAGGTGGAATATGCGGGGGAGAGACATGCCGTAGAGCCGGGGTGAAGGGGTATGAGTCCCTAGAGGTGAGTCTTTTTGGATTTCTAGTCTATAAGCAGACGATGAGGTCTCTTAAGGGGATCAAGTGTATGTATAGATGTAAAGGTGTGGTTGTAGATGGATATATATTGTAGGATAGACGAGCCGAGGAAGAAGCATTACAGATAGATGGACAGACCACAAGAGCATCATAGACTTGCCGATGTACGGAGTATAATCAGACATTTCGCAGCACGACGCATCTGAAACTGGCGAAACACCCGATTGGCATGTGTCAGCCTGATATCATGTTTCCCCAGTTCAAACTCAAATCAAATCATCAGGGTCCCTGTCAAGTCAGTCACGTCAAGGGGTGCTGCTGCTGTCTTACTTTACGAGAAGCAAGGGCACATCATATCTTTCGTATAGAGAGGGGGGGGGCATGGCGCACTTGGACAGCACAGATTACGTTATGTCGTGCTTTGGGCTGGTATTCTTGGGAGAGTGATTTGTGGTCTTGTGACTTTGAGGTGACTTGCTTTGTATGGTTGTTATAGGAAGTGTCGTATCTGTTAGCTGTCGTAGAAGCTTGACGGTGACTGTTGATTTGTGCCTTTTGGGGGTTGGTGATGGAGAAGAGTGACCTACTAGTAGAAAGGGCTTTTCGTTGCAAGTGAGGCTCTTTGGAGGCCTCGAGATTTGACACGAGGTGAGGTCAGAACCGATCTGTCTCGTGACATCTCTCGCGAAGCCTCCATTGAGAGTCACTCTTAAGATTGACTTCGTCATACATCATGCAGAATCATCTGTGTTCCTTTGAACAATCGTGTCGACATCCGGGGCTCCCGAGGCTCAAAGTTGTATATATCGCTTGACTGAGTCAGTCCCCTTCCACTGTGCGTATGATTCGCAGATCGGAACGCGAAGAATTCTGTAGATTCATGTCCTTTACAGCCAATATATTGTGGTCAAACATTGTGGCTATAAGGTTTATGCAGATTAATGTCTGCCAGTGAGTTCTGAATGGTATGTCCCGAGACGATGGTAATGTATGTGCTTCGTACAAATCGCAAAATGGAAAAGGATCTACGTCCATGGAGGTGTTCTGCTCTTGATGAGTTCTCCATTCTGCTGAAGGTTCTCAAGGTCTACGCTTACCCTGCAAAAAGGCGTCGAAAAGCCGCCACACAGACGACCAACCGACTCCCACCGACTTCCCCCGAAGCCCACAGCTCCAACAACCCCATCTCATCAAACCGTCGTATCTTTCCCACAGTCCCATCCAACAACGATGAAAACCAACTGATTTCACTACAGATTTGGTCTTCACAATCCGTAGTCAAGCCTCGGTACGAAGGAAAGAATGTCAGAGTTTATAAATGCCTTTGCAAATCTTATTCCCGTCAAAGTCATCGGCCAAATGGTCTAGTGGTATGATTCTTGCTTTGGGTTCCCAACTCAACTGCAAGAGGTCCCGTGTTCAATCCACGGTTTGGCCCAAGCAATTGTCTTTTTGCCATTTGTCTCTTTCATCTTACAATGCAGTCCTTTTTTGCTCCAGTGATTTTACTGTATTTGCTTCACTTTCCAGACGACTACTATCTGCAAGGCCTTGTATTCTTGATTGTCGTCTATCGGTTCCTATCATGGTGCTTGCTGGCTTGGTGTAAGTCACCTGCATCCACCTCACGCATTGGTAGGACTGAATGTGTTATCAATTCGTGTCAATTCATCCTCAGATAGGTATTCCTTCTACTAATCCAACACTCGCAACATATCGTACGCCTTGTGCGAAACCGCCTTCTGCACCACCGCCAAAGGATCCTTCTTCCTCTTCTTCGCCTCCCCAGGCGCAGCAACCTCCACCAAATCCCCCTCCACAACCTCGCCCCCATCATCAGCCCCCCCCCCCCCCCCCCCCCCCCCCCCCCCCCCCCCCCCCCCCCCCCCCCCCCCCCCCCCCCCCCCTCCTCCTCCTCGTCAAACATGCCGTTATCCATAAACACCTTCAACATTCCCTGCGAATACCCGCTCACCAGCGCCGTTCCCTTCTCCCCCGCAAGCACCGGCTTCGGCGCAACCTCATCCCCTCGTCCACCACCACCACCACCGCCATAACCCGCCCGCCCACCTGCGAGGTTCCAAAACACCAGCTCCGGCATCTCGTACCCGTGCTCCTCGTACTTCTGCTTGATCCTCTCGTACGAAGAAGCCCACGTCGTCTTCCCGCTCGCGCCATGGTATCCCTTCTCCGCCTGGTCAAACTGCATATCGCTAAACACAAACACGCGCTTCAGCATCTCCTCCTTCTTCAGCCCCTTTTCCACCGCCGTCGGCAGAATCAGGTCCTCAAAGACAGCCACAAAGTTCGTATTCATGCCCCAATCCGCACTCATCATGCTTCTCACCTTTTCGGTAAACGTCTGACCCGCATCGATGGCCTGCATCTGCGGCTTCAGGGAAAAGGTGATGAAGCGGCCCCCAAACGGCGGCTCCGTCACCTCCGCCACCAGCAGCGACAATCCCACCGCCGAGTGCACCGGCGCCGTCCTGTCCTTGAACCTGGGGTCGTACATGCTTCCGGAGACGTCGCACACCGCGATGCACGACGACAGGGTGCCCGAGTCCTTGATGCGCTGGACGAGCGTCTTCCACTGGGCGTCGACGACCTTGACCTCGATTTCCCTGATCTTGGCGTCGATCAGATCCTGCGGACGGCGGAATGCCAACGTTGATGTGTCGGGGATGTTTCCCGACGCGGTGCGCACCATGGCCGAAGGCAGGAGGACCGCTCCCGAGATGTTGGCCTTTCCTTCACCAACCCTGCCAAGATACTCCTTAAACCGGTCCAGATCCTTTCTGATAAACAACTTGGCGTAGTTCTTCATCGCAAGAGACGGCACGCGGTCATACTTGATCTTGTCAAACGCCTCAGCGCTGATATCCCGCTCGACAACCTCTAGATGCTGCCTCAGCGCAGACACGTCCTTGCGGTACTGCTCCCGCGCATACCGGAGATAGACCTCCCTGCCGACGTCTGGGTCGGAGACGGCGCTGCCGAGAGATTCCCGGGGATACATGATTTCGGCAATGGAGCTGATGATGGAGGTGTGTCTGTCGTGAAAGTTGCCGTGCGAGGGAGCCCACTTTGCACAGAGCGAGATGTTCTTCCTCGCTCTTGGATCGGGATGTCGAAGGGCTGCCAGATCCGAGCGAAGCTGCTCGGCAAAGAGCCGCGCGACGGTGACGTGCAGAGCGCGATACACGGCGTCGGAGTTGAACCTCTCCATGGCAGCCTCATGACGACTGTCCCGTTCGCGATGCCTTTCCACCTTGGCCTGTTCCCTCCGCACCGCCTCCTCTTCCCGCATCTGTTCCCGCACCTGCTCCTCCGTCATGGCGGCCTTGCGCTCCCTCTTTTCCTTTCGCAGTCGCCACGCTTCGAAGCCCTCCGCCTGCTGCGCAAACTCCGGGTTCCCAACGCGCACGGTCTGCTCCTCCAGGGCATGCCTAGCCGGCGCCTGCTTCTTCCGCACGCCCGCCCTGTTCTTGTTGTGCGAATACCTCGCAGCCTTCTTCATCACGGCAGTCATGCGCAGACGCTTCTTGCCTTGCCGCTTCCGAATGAACGCCTTCTTGATGGCTTCGTCTTCCACATTCAACACATCCCGCGGATCTGCAAGCACATCCAGCTTCTTCTCCATGCACAGCACCAGGATATTCAACAAGTCCTTCCAATACCCGTGTGACACGCCATGCCGCACATCAAACTGATCCACCGCGTCCTCATCCCCCTCCCGCTTCTCAATCTTGACAAACCCTTCATCCTCCTCCTTGCGTACCTTCTTCTCGATAACAGGCCGACTGAGCCAGCGCAGGTTGCCCATCAGTGTGAGAGGATGATTCTCCGCCAACCACCCCGCCGCCCGGTAAAACACATGCTTCGAACTCTTGCCCAGGTGAATCGACCGAGCATTGAATATCATCTTCAACGTGATGAGCGGATGCACCGCCCACGCCGCGTCGAGCAGCTCCTTCAACCTCTCCCCGGAAACGACCTCCTCCATCTCGAAGAACAAGTCGACCAGCGCATTCTGTGTAGATCGGAACGCAGCATCTGCGTTTTGCGTCAACATTCGATTCGAAAACTCTCCGTCCTCCTTGTTTTCGTCGGGTGTTGCTGATGGTTTGGTTTCGCCGGTGAATGCGATGCCGTCCATGGAGTCTTCCACTTCCAGGGACTCGAGAGACAGCACCCCGTATTCACCCCGCAGCTCATCAGAGAGATACTTGTCGAAGGCGGCCGGCGACTTGAACAAGGCTTCGTGGAAGAGGAAGAGGACGGGGTAGGACGTCCTGAGAAACCAAGGCTCCTCTTGGGCCTGATGCTCGGTTGCCGCCATGGTGAGTGACTGCATGCAGGTGAGCGGCGTGTAAGACGAGGAGAGAAAGAAAAGGAAGATTGAGAATCAACAGCGTAAAGCAACCTAGCCCGCTATATGGCTATATATATTAGATCCAATGGCCTCTCATGCCATAATTATAATATAACAATAGTCAAGCTGCTAGTCACGCCGTCTCAAAGAAGCTCGCCGGCATGACTCAGACGGGCATTGCGTGCAGGCAGAAGCCGCACTGGTCGCAAAGGGAACAAGCGTGGCTCGTTCTCTAAACGAAGCTCAGCTGATTGGATCAATTGGGGCACAAACAAGATAGGCATAACATATCGTTACATCTTGTGGCGTCCCATGCGTCTGCTGAGTGGGAGGTGGTTTGGGGATTGAAATTGCGAGGCAGAGGGCACTGTAGGGCTCGCGCCGATTCTAGCGTGCAAGATTGGCGCAAGTCTTGAGATCGATCTTGGCGCAAAAGAGGCGACATGGCATGGAAAGAAGAATGGCAAAGGCAAGACGTTGAAATTTCCTGTTTGTATTCGTTTTGATGAAGAAGAAGAAGAGGACTGTATATGGTATCTCATGAGGCGGACATCATTAATTAGTGTAACGTAATAGACAAAATGCCATGCGTGGTGATGGATGCATCCGCTGGCTAACTGAAAGAAACGCGCGCGTAAATCATAAGAAACTGTCATAAACCACCAAAACTCTCCTCCGCAATATGACGCCGATGATGCTGACGTGGTATATATGTGCTTTGTAGTATGAGGACATCTGCACGCTGTATGCTGATGCTGGGAATGTGCTCAGAGACGCATGGATATCATCTCCAGATACTGCTGCTCTTCCTGGGTCAGATAGACGTGCTCGGGCACAATGACGTGTCCCGGCTTGATGATGATGTCGGCAGCATAGACCCGGTCTTCCTTCTCCTCCTCATTCTCGACGGCGGCGTTGGCTTCCACGTCCGACACGTATCTGTCTTCGCTGCTCGCATCTGCGGGCTTGGTTTCGGCTTCAGCTTCGGCTTCAGGAGCCTTCTTCTTGGACTTTCGGCGGCGGAACATGGAATTGGGCTGTCTCAAGTCTTCCGCAGCCCACCAGTAGACGGGGAACTGGCGCTCGATGTTGTTAATGACAAGCGCCGCGCCGAGCATCAGGGAGCATCCCAGCAGCATGACGGGAATCAGGAACCAGCCGACTTGGATGAGAGTGGGATCGACCACGGCCAACAAAGCCGTCGCACCGGCAGGCGGGTGAACCGTCTTGGTCAGTGCCATGACCGCGGTGGCAGAAGCGCAGGCCAGGGCACCGCCCAGCCACTTGATGTCTTCGAAGTTGTCGCTGAGAAGAAAGAGCTTGCCCACGGCGCAGCCGACGATGGAGGACATGAGTTGTCCACCAATGGCGTTTCGCGGCTGGGCAAGGGGAGATTCAATGGCGTAGAATTCGAGGACAGCAGCAGCGCCCTAGACATTACCCCCCGTTAGTTGTCAAGACCATAATTATGTGTATATATTCTCATATGATGATCACATCAGGGGTTGACTTACAAAACTGCCCACAATCAGAGGCACGTGGTGAGGGGGAAAGGAGGCAACATGTTTCCCAACGGCTTCAATCATGAGAATAGCAGCAAAGACGCCGATAAAGGCCCAAAAGATCTGCATCAGGTTGCCCGTGCCCTGAGGCTTGGTCTTGCGGTACCCGAACCAGTAGGCGACGGGATACGGGATGTGATTCCATGGCGGAGGAGGAATGAAGGGGTTGAGGAACCGGTCAATGTTGAAGTTCCAGGAATGATGGCGCGGCATGGCGGCGGCTGTTTCTATGCGTCACAGCTGATGCCGGTATGAGCTGAGAGAGGGTATCTGATGTCTAAGAGAGACGGATAAAGACAATGAGCTTGTCGCGGTTTTGGTGTTCACAATAAGCGAGGGCTCGTGGCGAGACGGTGCCGCTGAAGCGAAGGGATTCGATGAGACAGGCAAAAGAGAGATGGGACTCCTCTGTCATCAAGACTCGCCAAGGCTATGAGGGCATTGACCGCATAATATACAGATGCCTGCTTCGCGAACTAGGACCGCGAGGTGAACATGAGAAAGAAAAACTGAAAAAGAGAGATGCTGTGCCGCGGAGAATGGCGAGAAGATGAGGAGAAGCGAAACGGCGTAGAGGAGGCAAGTACACGTCGTGTACCCCCGGGATGGCCAGTACTGGGGTTGCGCGGGTACACAAGACCAGCGAAAGGTATCGAGTACGCAGCGAGTACAGGGAGAGAAGAGAAAAGACAGCTTTTGCAGAGGTAAAAGAAGCAAGAAACGATGGCTTCGTCGTCGTCCTCAGAGAAGCAGCCACTCAGAGGCGAACCTTGTACGTAAGAAAAGCAACTACTCAGGACGCCCTGTTTGCGGGAGACGGACGAGCTAACGGGCTAGCGGAGACGGGGAAAGTACCTGTCGGTACCGTCGACTTTGGCTCCAGATTCAGCCATGGCTGTTGGTGATGGGTTGTTTGCTGTGTCGAAGCGATGAAACCCAACCTTGCAATTTTTTTTCCCCACTCAAATTGCCTGAATCTCTTGATTGGGATACTTCTGCTTGCTGGAATTCTTGGTGTTCCCGGAGCTGCATTGTCACTTCTGCTTCCACTCTCGCCGTGTGACAAGATTCAATAGAGTCCTGTCTCATCCGCTCTCATCTCACAAAGACAACCAGCAGCTAGCCTACTCTCACGCGTCCAATTCACATTTTCCAGGGATCACAGCATCCCCCCCAGACAAAGTCGCGGTACTTGTCCGGTACTCAATCACCTTCGGCTTTGGCTCGGCATGCGTCTCTCCGGGCTACTCCCGCTCCAGCGAACCCCTGCTCCAGCAACTTCCAACCAACCAACACAGCAGATCGGAAAAGGCGAAATCTTCAAGGGAACCGGTAACTCAATGCGGGATCGCGAATCTCGTCGTTCTACTAGTAGCACTACAGACGAGAAGCTTTGACGAAAGACTAGAGGGCTTTTATTCTCCGAGCTGGCATCTCCGGCCCCAGCCTTTCCCGGGACTCTCGCTCTTCTTGTGTGCTCTTCTCCTCTCTCCCTTGTCTCGCTTCTTCCAATCCCCTTTTCCATACCCCAGCGGTTATGACGTGCCAAAGTCCCACATGGCCGAGATAAAATCGATACCCGATTCTCCTGACCCCAGCCCTGTAGGAGCAGTAGCCTTTTTCTTTTCTTTAGCTCGCTGACGGGCTAGTACTCGCAGAAACCTTCTGAAAGGGGAAACGCCATGTTCCAGAACAAAAGCCGTTGAGGCTGCCGAGAAGCGTTTGAGGAGCACATGCGCTGTGGCTTTTATAACTACAAATCCTTCATCTACTACTATTGATTATGAACTTTTCTCTAGGCTTCGCCGAGTTCTTCTTATATATGGAGCATAATTTCCATCAATAAGCCCACGGAGATGTGCCATCACGGGCTTGACCACTGACTCGCCGACTGAGCTACAACTATTACCCTCATTGCCTCTGCGCCTGATCGCTTTTCCTCCTGTTTTGATATTCAATGACATTTCTGATATGAAAATGCTCTTTGTCGACATGATTCCATCAGTGATAATCACTTGATCATACGAACAGGTCCCCACCCCGTCAATCACTACTCCTAGGCAAGAAATACGGGTTGCAGCATGTATATTCATCTACTAAACAACGTTATGAGCTGTCTTGGCAACATCTTACCCTCAACCCATCCCATATTCCATCACTCCCCTTAAACACCATCACGACAAACTCCCATGTTTGTATGTCCACACAGCATTGATATTTGGATCTAACTGGAAGCCCGCCTGTGAATCACACAAACTACCGTTCCTGCCACTTCTCCGCGTTTCATCGGCACAGAGACCATCTGCCCGACATGACTTCTACTATGATTCACTGCCATTTCGGTCTCAACTATCACAAGGCACCCGGATAGCAAAGCCGTGAAGATCAGGCACACATCCAGCAAACCCATCCTACCAATGTCAAGGAGGCAACCGCCGCACAAAAATCTACTCCAACTCTACAAAGTGCAGCTCACCGCGCACGGCATCTGCACTCCTTCAACCTCAACCTCTTCTCTCATCTCGCCGCTTCACTCTTCTTCCACCTCTTTCACATTTCATTCCTCCTCCACTCAAAGCTCGAAAAACGCATGACTTTGCTCGCATCTTGGCGCAAATGGATCCTCGAGCCGCAGACCGGCTCATCGACCTGACGCCTCCTGCGTCCAAGGCCGCATCGCCCACCACCGGCTCTGCCCTTGTCCGCCACGACCAGCAAGGAAGCAAGGCTGTTTTGATTCAGCTGGACGATGAGCCTTCAACACCCATCGGCCCTGGTCTGGTGGATGTTTCCTCCGGTTCGACGTTGATTGCTGCCTCTGGGGAAGGCCCGGCAGCTGAAGCAAACATCTCCAACAACGTCGACCAGACCAAGTGCGAAGCGACTGAAGTTCAGGGAACCCAAAACAAGCGAGCTAAACATCTCGAGAAAGTGCATGAGATTCAAGATGCTTTGTGGCAGGGGCTCCATCAGCTCCAGTATATCGTGTTTGAAGCAGTAAGTGGGCATTCCCATTCCTCACTTCACATACTGGTGATACTCAGACTGATTTCAAATTATTTCAATAGGATGAACTTGTAGAGGCCATCGAGAGCTCACACCAAGATGGATCGCACGACTCCCTCCTCCTTGTCATTCGAGCCGTAAGCAAGTCGCTCGTTGGCGTTCGCCACATCGTCAAGTCAAATATTGCGATGATGGAGGAAGCAAGCGGTCTCTCGACTTCTTCCAAGGCTGTGGATGTAAGATAAGCTCCCCAACCCAGGACTAGTTGACATACTGACTGTGATCTGTAACAGGCTCCTAGCAAGCCAACAGTGCGGGTTGCCGCACCAGGCGTGCCAGGCCGAGCCACAAAGTTGCAACAAACAAAAGACTACGACGACGAGGTGGATCTCTTGCTTGATGATGTCTCTCCTGCTGCGGCAATCACTGGCAATGCTGACGTTGATTCTCCGGGCAACCAAGCTGCTCCGGCCTGGAACATTGCTTCGCCTGGAGCAGCCGATCCCTTTGTCGACTCCGCACCAGGAAGCGCTGTTCTGAGCCTGAGATTTCATCCTTCGATTACAAGCATTGCAAGATACATGTGTCCAAAGCTCTGGGTCGTCGGACTGCCCAGCCGCCGCGTCATCCTCAAGAACCTCCCCTCTGACATAACGCTGGCTCACATCTCCAGAGGCATTCGATCCCAAGATGGCCTCATCAGCATCCAGATGCTCAACACTGCCTCCATCTTCAAGAACCAGACTCAAACTGCCATGCTGGAATTCATCAAGCCCAAATCGGCTGCCGACTTCACCATCGCCGCAGCTTCATCTCCCCTCATCTACGAGACCAAGTACGGTCGCCAGTATCGTGCAGAGGCATGGCTCATCCCAACTCCCTCCTACCATATCAGCAAGATCAACATGGCATTCATTGGTGCCAAATGCACTCGTGCCATGATGCTCAAGGGATTTCCGAAGGAGTGCATCTGGTACTTTATCAGCGCCATTGGCTTGACAAGCATTGTCCGCGCTGACTACGATCCAATCAATGACTCGTTGACTGTCGAGTTCACGACCCTCTTTGAAGCACACAAGGCAGATCGATCCATCTGGTGTGGAGGATTCTCCGACTTTTACCAATACGACGAGGCAAGCGGCCAGTTTCGAATCTTCCAAAATGATTCGACCGACGTATACGAATCCAAATACAATCCTCCTCGCCCTCGTGAAAATCCGGTGAAGCATCTGCCCGATGACGACCTGGATGCCAAATACAACTGCCATCCCTACAACGACTACGTCCCGCCCCATCTCCGCACCGCTCCAACAGGTCCAACACGCCTCCCCCTCCGAACTCGCATCGCTCTCCAGCGCGACATCGACGAGACCCAAGTCGACGGCTACCTCGACGACCTCGAAAAGCACAAGGACACGGAATACCGCATCGTCGGCAGCTCCGTCACCCTCAAGCGCCGCAAGCACGGCTGGAGCATCTCCGACGAGGACGAGACCAAGCTCCTCCTGGCAAACACCCTGCACGACCCGCAGTGGGCAGACTACTGGGACGAGCACTACAAGTGCAAGGGCGAGATCAACCGGCGCAAGTACGAGCAGTACGGCATGGTGGCCCAGCATCGGCGGGAGGTCGCCGCGGAGCAGGGTCTCGGGGTGGAGGCGGTGCCCAAGTGCCCCAAGGGGTGTGAGATGGGATGTCGCGACATGAAGAAGACGCCTGCGGCCCCCGTCGTCAGGGAGTTTCTCAATACTTCAAAGGTTTCGGTCATTGATACGGGGTGTGGAAAATGAGCTTACAACGGTTTCGATAGGATGGAGTTTAGGGGGGAAAAAGGTCACATTTGCTTAGGAGGATTTCAAAAAGGGATTGGAGCCAGAAGGTTTTTTCCTGGCAGGGGACTTCAAAGGGTATGATGTCTTTGGGCGGCTTGATTCTCTATGCATCCGCAGCTCTGTGCTGTAACTGGGACCAGAGCACACGCGTCGTTGCATGGCATAGCCTCACGAGTCTTCGTAAAGAGCAGCCGCGATTCGCAGTGTGTTACGTGTTATTACGGTAGCCAGCCGTATATCGGACATCAAGGTGACTACAGGTCGATGGATCATATTAGTTTTAGGGAATTCAGGTGAAAAAGAAAAGATACTTTGCTGTTTGACAACTACGCAGGTTGTATGAAATGGTGTGAACCAAGTGTTTGATGGTGAACATACTCCGATTCATATTGGGAGCTACAGGTGATGTCGGCATCATGATATCTATCAGCGCCATGAAGTGGGTATCATATATATGTAAAAGAAAGGTGGTATAAATCACGAGATGCAGGTCATGTCTAGCATCACAGCATGGTAACGGGAGGAGGGGGAGTAGAGGCCATAGATTCTGCTGCAAGGCACAGCATGAAGGATTTCATCTCCTACGTGGTTCACGCCACGCCAAACGGTACATCACAACATCCCCGTGATCCCAACATCAATGGATCTTCGAATGAAACGGAAAAGAAAGTAGACGAGGCTACGAGCTTCCATTCCTAAACCCAAGCGCATAACATTACACCGCAAAAACACCAAAAGCGAATCAGATATCCCTGCGCCAAAAAACTTCGCTAATCCCAATTCCACAGCATGATAAATTCGCCAATTGATCGTCAAGGAAACCCCCGATATACGCCAAATGCAGTCGAGAGAGCGCCGGCAGTCGTCGGCCACAGGCTCTGGCTCGGCATCTCGCCCTCGCCCCCTTCTGTGACGACGAAGAACTCGTCCTGCCCGTCACCGTTGAGCTCGTCCTCCTTGCCGTCATATGCTTCGTCCACCATCTCGAGATTGTCTTGATCCCCCGCAAACGCCTCACTAACGCTGCTGTATTTTCTGCGGACGCCGGGCCAGGACAATCTCGATTGCTTCATGACGGGGCCTTGCTTGTGAGAGCTCTTCTTGGAAACGCCGTTCTTGACGTCCGTCTGTTTGACGCTGCTCTGTTTGCTGCCTGGGCCTGACTTGGCCAGGCTTTTCCGTTTATTCCTAGATGTCTTGAAAAAGTTCCGCACTAGGTTCGGCGGGATGTTTTCCTCGGGCTCCCACGTCTTCTTTTGGTCAGGCGGCCAGTCGCCTTCCCAACTGACCTTGAAGTAGCGCACTACGCCACGGCCTTCCACCTCGTAGTACTCGACATCCTCTATCCTCTCCACCACCCAGTCTGTTTCCCCTTCGGCCTGCGCAGGTGGGCTGTCCTCTTCAGGCCTGGGTCTCTTTTTTGAGTTCTTTGGCTTGGCCTTTGTCAGGGTACTTTCCACAATGCTGCCCGCTTCGCTAACTGGCAAATTCTGGGGGTGTACCGTCTCAGTCTGTGTCGCGGGTGGCAATGACAGCACCTGCTGGCCTTGGTCGTTTCGCTGGATGGATGATGTCGGCATCGGTGATCTGTTGGCTGGCGTCTGGCTCCCGCTACTTGAATCTGCTGATGATTCGGACCTGGTCAAGGTGGATGGTTGTATGGGCGCCGCGGACGGCTGTCCGAGCCTCGCCGGTATAGAATCTGCTTGCGAACCATTTTGCATAGGAGCCGATGGTCCGCTTGGCGGCGGACTCTCTGAGTCTTCAGACATGTCATCCTCAGTAGGCAAGAAGCCATGCACGCTCTGGAACTGCTCCTGCGCAATCTGCCGTGACGGGCTTCCCTCCTCGTCCGACAGCCACTCAAACTCCTCCAGCCTGGCCTTCTTGGGCGTCGTGAGGCTCATGACTCCCGCTTTGTGCCGTGACTTTGCCTGGGCGACTGTCTCTGGCTCGGCGACAACAGCAGTCTCTATCTGACTGTGCGCCGGCGGCCGTCCCCTCTTCTTCTTCTTTGCCTGTGGCGCCACCAGATCCGACTTGAGCTCCGCTTCCAGCCTGCCCTTTTCGTCGTCCAATTCCTGCTCCAGCCGCGCTTCAAAGTCTTCGAGGGTGCGGGGGGAGACGTAGTCCAGCACCTGCATGGCCGGGACGACCTTGCTCGCGGCTGGAAGATCGCGCCATCCAATCAAGTAGGCCATCCTCTTGGGCAGAGGGCGGCCGTTTGGCGCAAGGCCCGGAGACGGAAGCAGGACGCGCTCGATGATGTACGCCGTGGAGTCGCCGGGAGGAAGGAGGGAGATGGGCTGCAGGGGCGGGCCGCTGCCGGGGACGTAGTCGGCGGGCTTGGACGTGAGAGGGATGACGATTCGCGATCTTGTCGAGGAACCGGAGGGAGCTGGTTTGCGCTTGGGATCGCCTGGCCGAGACAGAGGAACCATGCCTCGGCCGGCCAGGCGGCGGTCCCAGAACTCGGGGTCGAAGAGCATCATGACAGGATGCAGCGGGGGAGTCGGGCTAGCGAGCAGCCGGCGGGCGTGTTCATGGTTTGTGCGAGGGGCCGCAATGGCGTGGATGGGGGCGGTTGTCGCGTGGGTGCTGGAGGAGAGGCGACGGGCCGGGGGATCGTGGTATCAGACGCGAAGAGAGAGGTGGACGAGCGGATGACTAAGCGGCTGGTTTGGGATGCTGTAGTTGTAGATGCTCAAGGCTGAACTTCTGTTGCTTCACATTGCTAGCTCTTCACGATGCCTTGTAGAGAGGGAATAAGGCCCTGTTGACGAATGAACCAGACACCAGAAGCCGCGATATATTCAATTGTTCAGATAAGCACACAAGTCTTGCACCAGCGTGAGCCTCGTCCATCTGCATCACTATCCGAGGCTCCAAGGTTCTTCCCTCTTCCACTCGCCCGCTGTAGCTCAGCGATCAGGTGGGGAACCCTTGCCTTGCCTTGCCTTGCCTTGCCGCAGCTCTGCTAAAGCGCCTCACAAGCATCTGCAACCGTCTGCATATCTCAGCCCTGCAAAAAAACTTCAAAGAAAGCCCTTCCTCGACAACAGACCACCAATCCACCAGAGGCTCACAGCAATTGTCCTCGCAAACGCTCGCCTCTCTCTCCTCGACAACAACACTCTCAAGCCCTCAGACATCTCTTCGAATTGGCGCCGCATCTCGCAGCATCCAACATGTCGCTCAAAACGCTGTGCCTGCGCATCCCCGCATCGCCAGCCCTCGCGCGATGCTGTCCCCGAGCCTCGTTCCCGCCGTCCAACATCTCCGCGCCCGCCCTCGCGCTGTCCCGACCCCTTGCGCGGGCAAACCACAGCCTCTCGAGCTCTAGACCAAGCGCAATCGCCGCCTCCAGCCCGCGGCCGTCCATCGCCAGCCTCGTCGCAACCCGAGCCTCGTCCTCCCGCTCCCCCACCATCTCCTCCTCCTCCTCCTCGTCGTCATCCCTCCGCGCCCGCCCCTACACCAGCAGCGCCAGCGCCAGAACCACCAGCGACCCCGCCGCCCCGGCGAACCTCGACTGGAACTCCTTCTTCAAGCTGCGCCTCCGCCGCCGGCGCATCCAGCTCCTCTTCTCCGTCATCACCGGCCTCGCGGGCGGCGCCGCCGGCACCGTCGTCCTGGCCGAGGGCTTCGCCGAGCCGCTCATCGCCCAGGTCCCGCTCGACCCCTTCTTCACCCTCGGCATCATGACCATGGCCTGCGCGGGGCTGGGCTGGCTCATCGGGCCCACGATCGGCAACCAGGTCTTTTACCTCGTCAACCGGCGCTTCAAGGCGCAGATGCTGCAGAAGGAGGCCGAGTTCTTTGCGCGCGTCAAGAGGCACCGCGCTGATCCTACCAACTCGAGCGCGGGCAACCCAGGTATGTAGACTTCTGTCTCTCTCTGCTGTGTATAATGACAGACGGTCTGATCTAACGTTTCAATTCTCGCAGTGCCCGATTTCTACGGCGAAAAGATCCAGAGCGTGGCCGGATACCGGAGGTGGCTCAAGGACCAGCGGGCGTTCAACAAGAAGAAGTCTGCGTCCTTTGTCTGAAAGCCGAGAAGGGCATTGAAGCAGTGGGAAACGCCGGTGGGCCAGCAACTGTATTTTGTAAGAAGAAAACCTCTCTCTGTCTTCCCCCTTCTTTCTTTCGTGAAAGCATGCTGCGTTGGCGCTGCTCGGGATGGCAAAGGCGGCAAAAAACAAAACGGTACCTCATTTCCCCAGACGTAGTGTCTTGGAATGGCGGTTGTGTAGTATGTATTGTATTATTTATAATGAGAAAGCTCTCTTGTTCGCAATGACTCTCGCCCTCGATATATATCCCGTGCTATATAAAAGGCAGACTCGGATCAACCCCATCCTTCCACGCCCTCAAGCCCCCAAGCACATCCCCGATGAACCGCTCCCCGTTCCGACCAACCCCCCAATCCTTCAACTTCCTCGCCGCAACCTGCGAATCGTTGCCCACCCGGCAAACAACGTATATCGGCGCATCAGGAGGCACGCCCCCCGGTATCAAGTCATCCAGCTCCTGCGCCGCCCCCTCTCGACGAGCCGTAAACCGACTAATCGGCACATTCACCGACCCCGGGATGCTGCAGAGCTCAAAATGCTCCTTCTCTCGCACGTCGAGCAGCACATGCGCCCGCTTCTCCCGTGCTATCCGCTCGTACTCCGCCACCGAGATGCGCTCCTCCGGCCGCAGCAGCTTGACCGGCTCGTTGACGCCGCAGAACTGGACGTAATCCAACGACGTCTTGAGCTCTGTGAGCGTCAAGGCGGAAGCATCCCCCGCGCACGCAAAACAGCCCTTCCTCTTCCCCCTCATCCTGACCGTCCGAAAGGGCACATCCCCCATTGCGCTGAACAGCAGCATTCCAACCTCCTGCTGCTGCTGCTGCTGCTGCTTCCCACTACCCTCTACTCCCTCCGAGACTTCCTCGTCCACACGCTTCTTCAAGTGATGATCCCCCCGCACAAGAAGCTTAATCGCCTCCAGCGCCTGCAAAACGCCCATGACGCCCACCACAGGCCCTACAATGCCCCCCTCGCCACAGCCCACCACGCTCTCCGGAGGGGGCGGCTTCGGAAAGACGCAGCGGTAGCAGGGCCCTCTCCCGGGCGGGTTGTTGAGCACGATGAGCTGCCCCGACGTCTGGAACGCAGAGGCCGAGATGAGCGGCTTGGAGAGCAGGACGCAGATGTCAGAGACGAGGTAGCGCGAGGTAGGATGGTCGGTGCAGTCCAGGACGAGGTCGTACCCGGAGACGATTTCCTCTGCGTTTTGCGGCGTGAGATGTGTAGCGTGGGCATGATACGTGATGGTAGGATTCAGCCTAACAAGCCCAAGTCAGCATTCGCCCATACATACCTTACCCATGAGTACGGAAGACCACTCCCCGTATGTCTTCTCAGAACAAGGGTTGATAGAAGCTCACCCCTTGAGATAGGCAACGGCAGAATCAACCTTCATCATGCCCACCCTCCCCGTCGAATGCGCAACCTGCCGATGCAGATTCGACACCTCCACCGCGTCGCCGTCCACGAGCCCCAGCGTCCCGACGCCCGCGCCGGCAAGGTACGCCGCCGCCGGACATCCCAGCCCGCCCGCGCCGACGAGGAGCACCTTTGCGTTTTTGATGTTCAGCTGCCCTATAATTTTCCTCATTCTTAGCATTCCCTCTCATTTGCTTTTTTCCATATAATCCAAGGGTAAGACGTATGCCAATGGAAATGAGGAGATAGGTTTACCTTGGAGTCCGAAATTGGGCACAATCATCTGTCGGCTGTACCTCTCATACTCGTGCTCCTCCAAAGGCCACTTCCACGCCTCCTCACCATCGCCGTCTAGATTCTTCTCATCATCCCTGTCATTATCGACGACTCTCAGCTTTTCTGCTTCCGCAAGCTGTGCGCGTAGATCCTCCAACTCAGCCTCCCGCTGCGCAATCTCTCTTTTCAAGTGCTCAATCTTCTCCATTTAATCATGCAGCACTCCTTCAGCAACTTTGTAAACAATGTAAGAAAGTGAAAAAGTTAAGTTGTTATCCAAAGTCCGGCTTACAAGCCAAGCCAAAGCTCTAATCCTTACGGCACCAAATCTGCTACTTACCCCACCTACACCTCGGTCAAGCACCCCGCCTCACCGAAACTTCCCCACCAAAAAAGTCCGTCCCATCACCAACTTTTTCTTCCACTCTAACTTCAATCCTCACATGTGACAAACCACCAAAACACCCTACCACATCATCCACAATCCCACCTCCCAACCTCTGACAACATGGTACACACTCTTCCTCCCTCATTTCTCACGCTCATAAAAAACGGACCAAGCAGCTAATATCAAGTGCAAAAGGCTCCCCAAAAACCACCCGCCAAACCATCCGCAACCGCCCTCCGCCACGCCCGCATCACATCCGCCATCCACCCCCTCGCTCCCCCCAAGACGTTCCGCCCCAACGCCTCCACGACAGACTCCTTCCTCTCCACCAAGCGCGACAAGCGCACCATCAAGCACTCCGCCTTCATCTCCCGCGTCGCCTCCTCCTCCTCCAAGATTTCCAAATCCAAAACCCGCCGGCGCTCAAAGACGAAATCCTCGGCTACGCTCAACTCGCTCGACAGTCTCGCCGATGCCCTCCCCGAGCTCGCAGACGGCGAAGGCGCGGCGGAGGTGCTCGATGGGAAGATCAAGCACCAGAGCTTGAGGAGCAAAAGGGGCGCGCTCAAGAGGAAGGAGAGGTTGTTGAGAGGGGAGATGGCGAGGTTTGGTGTTAGCATGGCGCAGCTTTCAACTGTGAAACCCGCAGCGCCGGCGCAGTCGCAGGGGGCTGCCATGTTCAGCAACAGCACGGTGGCTGAGAAGAAGACGGAGGAGGAGACGAAGCAGCCGGCGCCGGCAGCGGTGTCGAATCGATGGGCTGCGTTGAGGGGATACATCTCTGCGACCATGGAGCAGAACCCGGCGTTTGTGAACAAGGCCTGAATGCGATATCTACGCACAAGGCAGGCAGGTTCTTGGGCTTCAAAGGGGGGTGGACCATGACAACGGCAAGGAACAGTCATATAAGGAGGCAAGTAGAATACCCACGGGTTCAAGATGTAAGTCTTGAACAGGACATGTACCATAGAAATGGTAGGCTAGGAGTTTGGCGCACAAGGTCATATCAAATCAAATCATCAGTTTATTGGTCAGTACTCGAATCGATGCTCAGAATGCTATGCCTAAAGCAATGCCCGCTCCTTCGGGAGTGAAAATGAACAAAAGAGAAGAGAATCGTCGTCTGCCACGACAATCGCGTCAATGGCCATGTCCTGTAGCGCCATGCTTCCCTTGCTCTGAAGCCGTCATGCTCATATCTCATCGCCAAAAGTAAAAGAGAAAAGGTAAAAGGTACATAAAAAGTCAAAGACAGAGGCAGAAAAAGTGGTATCTCAATTCTCATCCATCCCCCTCCGCCAAACAATCATCAAGCGCATTGCATCCTCATGTCCGTGGTATGCTCTCCGCCTCCGCAATTACCATACCTATCCAACGCCAAACATGCAGGAATAGTGCATCAAAGACTCGAACCAGAAGTAGAGATAGAAGAAAAAAACAGAAAGAAGAAGCAAAGACACAACTAAACTGGATGATTTGGTGAGCTTTCGCTCTGGGGCACGGCCTTGCGTAGGCACCAGCCGAAAACCTATTCCAAGGCTGCTCGGAGACCACGGTCCTTGATGGGCGCGGCGGCAGGCTTCTGTGGCGTAGTCGTCGTCTTCTTGAGCCCCTTGTTGGAGGCAAACTTGATCTCGAGCATTGTCGGCTTGTTCGGATCGCGAGGCGGCGGGACGATTCGGACCATGCGCACAACGGGAGTCGGGGACCTCCGCGCGCTTTGCGGAGGCTTGCCATTGGGAGAGGCGCTCTTCAAAGCGGTGGCCTTTGTGGTCTTGGTAACCTTGGGTGAGCTGCTCTTTGATGGGGTGGCCTTGGCCGGGCGCTTCGCAGTGGCTGGGCTTTGGATCTGCCCCTTGCCAGGAGCCTTGGCCGATGCACGTCGTTCGGGCTGCGCGATTGGCTTTGGCACGGCGGTCTTTGAAGTATCTGTCTTTGAGGTACCGGCCTTGGAGGTTACAGTCTTGGAGGCATCTGTCTTGGAAGCGATCGGCTTTGAAACAGTCTTCAAGCCAACAGACTTGGAGGTGGCCACCTTTGTTGAGGCAAAAGCCCTGGAGGCAGCGGCCTTGATGGAAGCGACATCCTTTGATGCGCGCGCCTTGGAATCCGTCGTCTTGGCATCACCCGCCTTGGGCTGAACCGTCTTTGCATCGTCGGCAGAGACAGCCGGCTTCTTGGAAACAGGGGGCGTGGACGCGGGCGTGGGCAGCTGCTCATTCGCCCCATCGCCTTGCTGGCCAGGCTCGTGCAAGAGTTTCTGGAAATCTTCCCAAGAGCCGTAGCGAGCAGCTTTCTATTCAATTCGCGGGGGAGTCTTGGTAGAGGCAAAGGGGCTCGCACTTCTCCTTGACGCCGCGGTTAGCCATCGCATATCGGACGGAAACAAAAAGCCAACAGTAGACACTCACGATCGGCGACGCTCTCCCTCCTTGCGCAGGTTCTCAATGATGCGGAGCATCTCCTTCCGGCCACCGTTGCTATCGACCATCTTTCCGGCCATGCTCATGGACACCTTCTCCCTAGCATTGGCGACGAGCAGACGCTTGACGAGCAGGTGGCGCATCAAGAGACAGACAAAGACGCCGCAGTCGCTGCCGTTCTCCTGCTGGGGCGAGTCGTCCAGGTTGACGAACCGGATCGGGCGCTTGACGATCTCGCTGAGCTTCCTGGTGGCCAGGTTGGCCTCGCCGTAGTTGGCGCCGCCGAGGGAGTCGTAGTGAAAGGCGATGCCGTCGAGGACGGAGACGAGCAGCAGCGACCAGTGGCTGCCGCCCTCGGCCATGGCGACGTTGCGGTTGTCGTTGATGGGCAGGAAGACGTGGGTGACCTTGCTGAAGTCGGGCAGCGCGGAGCGAACATGAGCCATGTCGGGTTCCTTCATCAACAGAAAGGTCATGCTCGGGCGCAGCAGGATGATGCGGGCCTGGGGGAAGCGCGGCAGCGTCTCGTGCTCGAGGTACTCCTCCCAGAAGGCGATGTTGTTGTCCGTCAGCCAGTCGTTCTTGAGCGACTTGATGTCCTCGACGGTCAGCAAGACATCGTAGTAGCTGAGGTACGCCTTTTCGGGGGCCAGCTGCCGATCCAATGACGTTAGCATGCAGGAATCGCGGAGAAGCGTGTGGCAGAAGCGTGTAAATGGACGGAGGAGGGTGTAAGTCAATCGCTGGAAACGGCATACAGAGTCGCCAAAGTGGCGGGCCATGCGCTGTCGGAACGGCATCCTGTGGTGGTGGTGGTGGTGCTTGCGCCTCCTTCGCTTGCCGTGATGCGAATCGTCGCGCGACGTCGATGCTCGGCTGGAGGAGCTGGTGCTGGAGCTGGTGCTGGCGCTGGTGCTGCTGCCCCAAGGACGGATCGACTCGGACGAGCTGGTGCTGCTGCCGGAGCTCGAGGCGCGGCTGCGGTAGATGAAGGAGAAGCCGGTGAAGTGGCTGCTGCAACGCGCAAACGAGAAAAGACGAGAATGGATCAGAATCGACTGCACGATTGAGACTTTGGAGAAGAAGAAGGAGAGGAGCCGCGCGACAGGGGAGGGAAGACGAAGCCTTTAATCGAAACGTCAAAAAGGAAGAAGTGAAAGAAAAAAAAAAGTGAGGTGAGAGCAGATTAGATGGAAAAAATAAATGCGGGGCGTTGGGGTTCTGTTCAGCTCTATTCAAGTTGGTGGCCGGCAGCTGAAGCGAAGCTGAGGAGAAGCTCAGAAACGGCGATGACGATGACGAAGTGGGAGGAGGAACAGAGACGTGGTGGACGATGGGATGTTTATGATGGCGATTGTGGTGGTGTGTGTCACTCGTGTGCTTGTAGGGACGATGGGTGTAAGGTAGGGTAAAGGTGATATACCGAGGTAGGCAGTATATATGAGGTATGATGCGTGCGCAAAGCACCAACAAGCCAAGCAGAAACAGGATGGATGCTACCTTATTTCAAGTTGGCGGGCACCGGCAAACAAGCAATATGGATGAAACAGGCCGCAATCTGAACACGGGCATCAACCCAGGCAGCGTTGCACTTGTCAAAAACCACAGCCAGGACAAGCCGTATAAAGAGTCTAGAATCACCCCAAATCAAGGCACTTGACCAAGGCTTCGGGTGCAGAGAGAACAAAGAGTGAATCTCACCAAGAGGCAGCCCCGGAGGCACCGGCACCGGCACCCCAAAAGTGAGAAGCATCACGCTTCAGAGCCAAAGGTGGGCTGTGCCTTGATTGCCGGGGAAGCGCTTGCGTCACTCGACTGGCGGCGCCCCTTCTAGCTGAGCCTAGCAGCAGCAAGAAGGCAGAAGACATCCGATCTAAGTCGAGCAGATGACTTCTTTTGGTGCCCTCGACCGGCGGACCAGGCTGGGTTAAGGTAAGGTACCTAGGTGAAATAGATGGCCCGAACCGGTAGGTGACAACCACCAGGTCCGATCCAAGGGGGGAATATGCCAGAATCATAGATGCGAGCAGTTCGAGCTGCGCATCGTCGCGGATAAGGCAGTAACAGCAAGATAGAAACCAATCCTTACCTCCAGTTGCTCGTAGGCGAAGACGACGCCGACGATGACCTCGAAGACCGCATATTGTATATCGTCGTCAAATCGTTCAAATCCCAAACCAGACTTATCGCAACCCGTAAAATCCGACTCGATTCGACTCGAAACCTCGCTCGCAGTGTGTTTTGTTTCAAGCCGTCCTCGTCCTCATGCACCCGTTGCGTCGTCTCTGCCCTTTTTATTCTTCCTTCTCTCCCCAGGTTAGGCACCAAAAAACACACAAAAACCGACAGATGATGATCCCGCACAAACCGCCAATAAAGAACCGCTTCTCGCCAATCCCAAAGCTCGCGTGTCCTGTCTTCCCCTCGAATGCGGGCAGCCAATCGCCAGCAAACAAAGCCGTGCAACACAGGAGAATCGAATCGAAGGCCAACAACGCAGCAATCCCAGTTGTAAAAAACAAGATGTCTCCCCGGACGCAAGATATATATACTCATGTGCTATATACGACCTGCTTATACCTGACCAACTCCGTCAACCACTTACAAACGACATATGCATACTCCATACTGCATCCTGCTCTCCCTTTTTTTCCCTTCTTCCCTTCTTCTTCCTCTCCCCCTGCCACGCCGCCTTTTCGGCTCTTCCTCGAGGCACTTGCATCTGTCAACCCCGTCAAAGCGTCCCGTTTCAACATCCTCCCATCCTCGATCCGTCCAAGGACCCCCATCTCTCTCTCTCTCCGTCTCCTCTCCTTCATGCCCAGTTTCAGCTACCCAAGCAAGCCAAGCCCCAAGTAGTACCTCATAGTGGACATGTATTACCCGCTGGCATGCACGTCACGTCACCTTTGGGTCGCCATCCCGGGCGGCTTTTTTTTCTTTCTTATGTCTGCTTCGGTTGCTGTAACCATCGTCCCCCACAAGGACCCCTTTTCCTTCTGTTTCCGCTTCTCTTCTCTTCTCCTTCGTTTCCTCTTCTTCCCGCCTGTACTATCATATGCCCATTACACCCTGGCGGGATCTGACACTGCATCGTTTGCCCTTACTTGACCAACACAACCTTGCAAAGCACAAGGCAACTTCATCATCATCCTACATACTCCCACACTTACGTAGTTGTACTCTGTAACAGCATCGCCACCACCCAATTGCAGCCATGCATGCATTTCCCCTCCTCAAAAACCGCAGCACGTCTCACACAAAGTACACACTTTCCTCCCGCGCCTCACATGCCAACCAATCCAATCCCCAATCCCCAATAGGTACACAAAAACCCCCACACAAGCCGCATGCTTTTCTTCCCTTCCCGTCTTACAACGTAGAACTCCTCCCCTTCGCTGGCAACCTGGCATTTGCCCATCCCCCGCTCCGGCATGTCTTTCTCACACTCCGAAAGCACTAACATGAGACAAAAGCGTTTACTTTTCGCCTTGCAGTCGGTTAGTTCCCTATCGTGGTCCCTACCAGCAGCCGCAACTTGACATCAATCCACGACGGCCTGCGTCAATCCCGATCATACCATTACTAGTGCATATAACAACTCACCGAGTACCACTTCGACTCCATATGGACAACCCGACCCCGTTCTCTATGCCGTAGGAAGCGCAGCAACTCCATTCCCACCAGCAAGCTACTGTAGGTACATGTAACGATGGGGATCGAGATCCCGGTATCGCCATGACAGCTTCTCTCACCGCCGGCTCTCCCTGTCATCCTCCCACGCTTTCTGTGAGGCTCCTGTTGTCCGGACCGTATAAACTACTACGTACCTGCTTCGTGGCAGGCCGAACAGAGGTTCATGATTCACCGATACACCCGCTTTGAGACAGCAAACGCCAAGTCTCAGACCAAAGCATGCATCATGATTCCAGACCTCCTCTCCTGATTGGCTGTCTGCACACTTGACACTGGCATCCCACATCACATCATGCATTATGCGACTTCTACGTACCGCCATCACCCAGACCCTGGAGCCAAATTGTCTCGTTTTCCACATACGGACTCAAGATTCACGACTTGCCAAGACCATTCATCGTTGCATTCATACGGGATTGCATTAGACATTACTATGTTCAGATTGCTCAGGCACATCCAGCAATCAACCACATCCATGAGTGCCACTGCGGCTCAACAATCAACACACAAGACCTGCACTAAAGCTTCAAGAAAGGTCAACCACAACTTTATTGTCACGCAGACACTCGTCCCGTAAAGCTCTGAGTCCTTGACGTACTCGGCTGTGGGCTTGACGCCGTGCTGCTAGGACGTCGTCCAGCTCCATCGCCGACACTGCACGAGCTTGGCTCCTCGCTTTCACGGCTCCCTTCACCTCTTCGACCTTTTTACGGAAAAAATCTCCTTGACTGGAGAATGCAACCGCCAGGCCGTCGCGGTCTTGATGCAAACGCTGTCTGACGATCGAGAGTGACTCTTTGCCGCCGCTACGGTAGACTTTCGCGACATTGTATGCCGCTGCCTTCTTGTCGTCCAGGCGGGCAATCAGTTGCTGTTGAGCGGTCAACACGTCATGTCTGCAAGCAATTTGTTGGGCACTACTCACCTCAATTGTCAGACGGATCTGCTTGTTGACATGGGTGATATCGACTCCTCCCGCAGGACAGGCCGGCGTTGCCTCTGGGGCCTCGCTTGGGAACTCGGTATGTCCCAGAAAACTCTTCATGATCTCATCGTGGAGTTTCTTCCCCATACTGGATTTACGCTTCAGGGTCGGTTCCTTGTCGCTGAGGCGTCGCAGCCATTGAGTTGAGGGTTTGCCTTGGATGTCCTCGAAAGCGCTGTTGTGTTGTTGTTCGATTTGTCTGTCCGTTGATTTGCTTCTCAGAAATGACGGGCGCTGCTCCGATGGATGCTGTTCCGGAGGACTTGTCACGACAGGATCTGCTCGAGGGGGCACATGCTCTAACCCTCTGCTAGGCGCAGGATCCTTGACCATGACCGGACTTCCTCTTTCCGAAACACTGAATTGTCGTGATACTCTCCTTCTCTTGGGCTTGTGTTGCTCGAAATGAGGTGCTTCCGGCTCAGCCCTCTTGTCGAAAGCTACCGGGGAAGGACGATGATGCTGCTTCGGCTCTGGCACTACAGCAGCTATATCAACGGCGCCGGCAGAGAAATTGGTACTGGTAGGGAGACTCGTACTGGTAGGGTGATTTGTGTTGACTGCCCCGTGCTCTTCGGCGCAAGGCGTCTCAACGCTGGCTGAGGAGCTTCGGATCAGAACCGCTACCGGGCTGCTGCTGGGTGCATCTTGGTTCGTGTCTCTGGGGGGCAGCGGCTGGGGTTTGCCTGGGCAGGCTTCTGGCTTTGTCTTTCTTGACGGGCGACTCTTTGCGCCCTTCCTCGGCTTTCTTCTCTTGCTACCTTCCACGGGAGAACTTGATACTGCTGCCGATTCTTGCAAGGCGCGAACAATGGGTAGTCGAGGAGCTGTGGATTTCTTCTTGGCAGCAGGAACATTGACAATCTCTTGTGTCTGAGAGTCGAAACGGATCGGCTCCTTCGCTCTCTGTCTTTTCTTGGCTTTCTGCCCCGATTGTGAGGGACCCTTTGATTCATCCTCATTCTGCCTGACAACTGCTGGCGCTGGTGGCGCAGGCTTTCTTGGAGTCCCGTCGTAAAGGTCATCAGTGGGTACATATGATGACTCAATGATGCCATTTGTGGTGTCTGGGGAAGAGTCAACGGCCTTGGGACTGTCCTGGAAATCCCATATATCCTTTGGAGCATCACTGGTCCCGAAGGGCGAGCTCCGTCGCGCTGTAGACGCGGTTTCTGAGAAGTCAATGTGTCGTCTTGGCGTATTCGACTCTTTGGCTTCATTTTCGTGGATGGCTTCGTTCTCACGGATGGGGATTGTAGCTGGCAAGTAGCTATCGTCTAACACCGGACTGGAGAATGGATCCAGAGAGTCGAGATCATCGAATAGCCATGCGTCGTCGGCGGGAACTTCACTGATGTTGGCCGGCGAACTTCGACGAGTATTTGACGTCGAACCCGCGTCGGACCATGAAAAGGCGTTCGTAGATTGAACCCCTTGCTCAATGCCTTCGACCATCTCCACATGTTTCTCTATAGAGCAGTCAGTTGTCTGTGTCAGTTATGGAAGAAGAACTTCTCACCCTCGGTGACCGAGACCATACTCCGTAATTGCTCGTCATGTCTGCTCGGGGTGACCTCCAGCTCACTAAACTGCGTAGCAGTTCGCTGCATGCGAGCGTGCGTAGCTGGTTTGGCACGTAGTCGAGGAGCCATAGTTGAACGTATCACAAGTGACGAATGAGGCACTGGAAGGCCAACGAGGAGGCGCTGGAATAAGAGGAGGATGAAGAGGGATCTCCAGGGTCAGCGACCAAGAGGATAGATGAACACAAGATCAGGGGAAGAATTCCCAGATGGTGTTGGTGAAGCAGCTTGTCGCGCAATCGGGCTTTGTCGAAATGAAAGTCTTATGAACAGGAGAATGAACGAGACGATACTTAAGCGTCACAGGAAAGACTGAGCCTTGATGCGCACAGAAAGAAAGCAGGGGATCTCAAAGGCTCGAGAACGAAGAGGCTTGACGAGCGAGAGAAGAAAAGGAGATGGTATGAGAAGAGGGGAGAATGGATATTTTTTGTTTTGTAAGCGGGCAAAAACGAGGGAAGGAGTGCCTCTGATCCTTCGTTCTGAAGCAGGAGCGAAGAGTTATGCCTCAGGATCGAGGTACCAAGGAAGGTACGCTGGTACCTCCCGAGGTCGCGATGAATCACAGAAGAGTGAAAGTGCAGTAGAATTATCATGAAGAGTTCAAAACCAGGTAAATTCATCGAAAAATGATACAGGCGTCTCGACATATCGCGCAAGTGTGCATCAACTCTGGCCACTGCCACCAAAGAAGCCGCAAGGCTACACCTACACATCTACCACTTAATGACAAAACACCAAACAGACAAAGGTATCTTCGCAGCAGCAAATCAGAGCAAATTCTTCCATCCAGCCTCACGGCACTTCTTCACCAGCGACTTGACCTCCTGCGAACGGGCCCTCGTGGTCACCATGAGCGCATCGGGAGCGTCGACGATGACAATGTCGTCGACTCCGAGGCACGTAATCAAGCGGCCAGACACGGGCACCACGATTCCTCCAGCGGTTTGCTCAGAGACGACTGCGAAAAGATGAATTAGTTGATTTCTTTCTGGGTATATTGGGTGTAAAAGGCGACGGCTTACCCAGTCTTTGGTCACCGAGGACGCGAGGCTTGTTGGACTCGGCGGGAAGCATCTCAGCCAAGGATGAAAAGTCACCAACATCATCCCAACCTACAACAGTTAGATAAAGGGCACCTCTCATAGGTGACCCGAAGATGAAATACTCACCGAATGTTGCCGGAATAACGGCCACCTTTCCTTGAGCGGCCGCAGGCTCAGCGACCGCATTGTCAATAGGGATCTTCTCCAACGTAGGCCACACTTCTTCCAATGCAACCTTTCGCGCCGCTTCGTCATCCCACACGGCAGAGATGTTCGTCAATCCTTCGTAAAGAGCCGGGCAGTGCTCCTTGAGCAACTCCATAAGAACAGAGGCCTTGGTAACGAACATGCCGGCGTTCCATCGGTACTGTCCCGTAGCCAAGTATTTGGCGGCAGTGTGCGCATCAGGCTTCTCTTTGAAAGAGCTCACCAAACGCGCATGCGGAGCCGTTTTCAGGCCCAGCCGGTCGCCGAGTCGGATGTAGCCAAAACCAGTAGCAGGGTGAGAGGGTGCGATACCAATAGTGACCAAGTAGCCCTCTCGAGCCACTTCTACTGCCTCGGTGACAGCAGCAAGGAAGGCGTCCTCTCCAGAAATCATGTGGTCCGCCGCAAATGATCCAATGACTGCATCTGGATCCCGTCTGAGGAGGATCGCCGCAGCCAGGCCGATAGCAGCCATGGAATCCTTGGGGCCAGGCTCAGTGAACAAGTTGGAAACATCCAGGTTAGGCAACTGGCCGAGAATGCCCTCCGAGTGAGCAGGTCCCGCCACAACGGTCATCCGTGAGGGGCCAGCCAGAGGTAGGAGTCGCTCCCAGGTCGACTGCAGTAGACTGTTGCCGCAAAGGTTGACATCGAGGAGGAACTTGGGGTGGTTCTCGCGAGAAAGAGGCCAGAGGCGGGTGCCAGCACCGCCCGCGGGGATCACGACGTAGAAACCGGGGATCTCGCGCTGCGTGAAAGAGAGCGAGTGAATGGGGACTTCGCGAGTCGGCGACGTGATGAGGGCCTGCGAAGGCCCGGGCGGGGCAGACGAGGAGTGACGAGGCAGGAAAGGTGATCGGGCTCTCTCGTGGCTGAGGCTGGGAGACATGCCGGCGGAAAGGCCTGTAGGGCTGTGATTGCGTCCTTGCTGCTGCGGTTACGGTGAGAATCAGAGAGTTGCGAGAAGAGAGTGAATGCGGACTTGTCGCGCAGAGTATTGGGGGAAGCAACATACTGTCATGCTCTGGAGCATAATCTCCATGCTCTTGTTGGACGATCGAAGATCCGCGCATTCCCTTCGCAGCTCAGACAACTCTTGGTTCTACATCTCCGCATCAGTCTCACTGCCACCATGACGGCGCATCAGACTGAGGGCCCGCGATTGCCACTGGCAGAGTCGAGCGGCAATCCCAGCCATCAGCCAACAATGGAGCTCCCTTACCTGCTTCTCCATCGCACCCATGATGCGCTCCAGCATCATCTCAATGCCCATCTTGGGCACGTCTGAGACAGTTGCCGCCATGATTCTGGCTTAAACGATTGATTGGTTGGTTGATAGTAACGAAGGTAAGGTGAGAGCAAAGAGCGGATGGCAAAAGAAATGTCGCCAGGAAATGAGGTTTCTAGAGAAATGACGACGAAGCTAAAGGTAAGCCAATGTCCAAGGCGCAACAGCAAACACCACGCAAAACTCACTTCTAACTCAAACCGTGTCTCATTTAGACAGTAAGCATCACAAGACCTACACACACACACACCAGGTGAGAGTGAAGTATGAATTGAGATGAGATGGCTAGATTTTTATGTAGTAAATGATATATCCCCTTCACCAGTACGAGAAAAGGACACGCAACGTTGCGAACTTTTCATTTCCCCTTTCAACGGCTTCCTCCATCCGTCTCCAGTGTTTTCCCATCCCTTCGCAACGGCTTTTCCTAAAATGAAGCTAGCATACCACTCAAAACACACCGAGAAAAAACGTGGTCGCTTGATCCAAGCCGCCGGCGTCACAATAGTAGGAGAAAAACACGAGGTGCTAAAAGGCTTCGGGAGCGGTTAGTCGGTCCAGCGCCCAGGTGAGGCTGACGAAGACACTGCCCATTTGGGAGGCGTTGGCACGTCTCATTCGCCTCTGCCGGAGAAGAAGAGGGTCGGTTGGCAAGACGAGTTGGTTCCGTGTGCTCTTTGGTGGATTCTTCTCGGCATTTTTTGACTCGAAGTCGTCTAAATAAATAGGGGCGGGTCGACTTGTGGACTGGAGAGTCGGTAGTATCGCGGGTCGGAATAATGCTGTTAGCTGGTGGATCAAGAGGCGTGGCTTGACAGACGGTACAAGTTGTCAGCTTGATATTCTAGGTCTCTACATTTCTATCGGTACCTGAAGCACCAAGTGATTGTGATCTGGTAACTGCTTAGGAGTTCTTTATATTGTATTACCGTTCGTTTCCTAAACGATGTCGGCATGCCAAGAGCTGCAGCACCTGCCTTGACCCCAGCTCGTGGTGCTGATGTTGCTGCTCTCGTTTTCTTGCTGCAGAATACGAGGCATACTCCGCTCCGTGTTCTCATTTGAATCGGGAACAACTGATTACGAATCTGCGAATTTGCGTCTTCACACCCAATCTCATCATATCAATCTCCTCCGGGATGCTGAGGACACATTGTATCAAGTGTCGTCCAATCCTCCTTGCCATGTCATTCAGCGCTGCGGCCGCACAATTCCAAGAATACAGCGTCCAATCGACTAATCGTATTTCCGGCCAGCGAATCAATTCGAAGCTCGAGTGCGGAGTTTCCCCTTGTCCCCAGGCATCCTAGATGCCAAGTTGGAGCTCGCCGACTTGATGTCACGACCTGATTAATCATCCGTCGCAGCGCTGCCATAGGTCGGGCCATCGGTCTTCGCAGCCAGGCTCAGGTCCGACGCTCCGCACGGCTCGAATTCCGCTTCTCCCTAATCCTTAGTCACGGCCTGAAGAGCAGAGCAATAGCGGCGAAACTGCAGGTCGCGCAGGATTAGATGGACAGCCGAGCAGGGCATCAAAAGGCTGGTCGATCGCTGTAGCGTTAGTGATAAATAGGTAGCCCCCTAGTCGCGTTTCATGCGCCGTGAGTTGTCGTTTCCAATATATGCTCCGCTGCCTCAGAGTCTCCTGTGACCATATTTCCTCCATCTCGCGATCAACTGCCATCGTGCGCATTTTCTTTGATCTTTCGATGCCAACTTGTGTCCCCCACAACTCGCCATGAAGAAACAAGACACCGTTTCTCCTGCCGTGGCAGCGTTGGAAAAGGCCGAGACGGCAGAGGAGCACCCAGCAAAAGACTCGTATCCGCCGATATCCTCGATCCCGAGCACCTCACCCGAGCGCCTCGCACAAGCAGCCGAAGATGCCCCCAAAGATGTCGCGAGCATCGCCGAAACCGTCCTTTACCTTGCCTACGGCTCCAACATGTGCGCCGAAACATTCCTTGGAAAGCGAAGGATACGGCCGCTTTCTCAGATGAACGTCTCCGTCCCCCTCCTGCGCCTAACATTCGACCTCCCCGGATTGCCGTACCGAGAGCCGTGCTTCGCGAACGTCGGATATCGAAAACTCCCTGACCCCAAGCTGCCCGATCCCCTCCATCCACCCATCGTTCCGCCGCTGGACCCTCGAAAGCCGGGGTTCGAATGGGACGGCGGCCTTATGGGAGTCGTATACGAAGTGACACGGGAAGATTGGCGAAACATTATGCGATCTGAAGGCGGTGGCTCCGGCTATCAGGAGATCATGGTGCCCTGTATTCCCTTGCCGGCGGATGTTGGCGTGCCAGAGAAGCCCACGATACCGCCCTTGCCCAAGCCTTTCCTTGCACAGACGCTGTATGCCCCGTACATCCCGCTTCCAGAGTCAGGAAAGAAGTCGTGGTGGGCCAGGTTCGTCACCGGTCCTCATAGGCCCAAGCCCGACTATGCCCAGCCGAGCGCCCGATATCTGAAGCTCTTGGTGGACGGTGCTCGAGAGCACAACCTCCCCCAAGTCTACCAGGACCATCTGGCGTCGATGCAGCCGTACACCCCGACGACCCTCCGACAGAAGATCGGCCAGAACGTGTTCCTCCTTGTCTGGGCCCCAATGCTGCTGTATTTCTTCACCATCACGACCTTTTTGGCCGACGAGAGGGGCAAAGTGCCGCGGTGGTGCGCGAACACGATCTCGGGGCTGTTTGGCATCATGTGGTACAGCTACGACAAGCTGTTTGTCCACATATTTGGCGACGGCGAGCGAACGCAAGAATCGAAGAAAAAGTCGACGAGACGCAAGTCGTTTGCTAACGGGACAGACGAGGAGAAGGCAGCGTTGTTGCAGGATGTTGAAGATGTAAAGGGAGGGACGTTTTGATTTTCATTGTGTCTTGTTGGGATTTTTGGGTTTGAAGTGTCAGACACTGGCGCTGACGTTATCCGGCCATTGTATTGCTGTACCTACATTCTAGCGACGAGAGGGCTTCAAGCCATCCGTTCGTACTGCATGGCGATTGGTTTCTACTTTGTTTCTGTAAATTCAATTTGCTTAGACACAGCCAATAGAGCGAATCAGGAGACGCGCATTTCCCGTTTTGTCCATTGAGTTCTGCATTTGTCTTACACAAGCTCAACCCCCTCTTGTGCCTTGGTCAGAAGCCAAAATGCCGCTATACTGTCAACTCCTCGGCGCTGCTGCCTTGGTCATGATGCTCCCGAGCAACGGCAGCATTCAGTTGATCTCATTGCAATAATTTCACGGTATCAGCATCGATGGAAGCAGAACCCATCGCTGGCATGTGAAAGACCAGGGGTAAAGCTTACATGCTGCACGCCAGCTTTGCATGTGATTGAGATTGGGTTCCCTCGCATCTCGGCGAAAAAAAGAGCACCAGCCAGGATCCCAGCAATTCGGTTGGGGCGACGGCCCGAAGCAGCAGGCGGTGAGCGCTACTCACCAGGAAATGCCATGCGTCATTGGCACAGTCGATCTCGGCACACGAGCCACCAGGCTCTTCTCCCTCTTTTCCTGCTTGTGTCCCCGCGTATATATACACAGACCAGGCGCCCGGCCGCTCGAATTGCATGCTTCGACTCTCCATATTCCGCTTCAGTTCCAGACTCGGGACAAGCACTTCTCCGTATCGATACAGCCATCGACTGAGCTGCGCTTTCAGCTACTCGTCCATCTGCTCCTACAGCTGCTACTCCACCACCACGAGCTCAACAACCGACAAGATGGCTCTCCTGGGCGGACCCGAGAAGAAGCACAAGGTCACCATTGTGGGATCTGGCAACTGGTACGAGGAGAACATCGTGGACTAGTTGCTGGACACATGCTGATCATATCGTCGCAGGGGCTCTACTATTGCCAAGATCATTGCCGAGAACACGCGAGCCAACAAAGAGCTCTTTGAGGAGGAGGTGCAGATGTGGGTGTATGAGGAAGACGTCAGCATCCCCAAGACGTCACCGCACTACGACGAGTCCATCGGCGACGCTCCCCAGAAGCTCACCCACATCATCAACAACTACCACGAAAACGTCAAATACCTGCCTGGCATCGCCCTTCCCAGCAACATCGTCGCCAACCCCTCACTTGTCGACGCCGTCCAAGACTCCACCATCCTCATCTTCAACCTTCCCCACCAGTTCATCCGCAACGTCTGCGACCAGATCCGCGGCAAGATTGTGCCCTTTGCGCGCGGCATCAGCTGCATCAAGGGCGTCAACGTGTCCGACGACGGCATCAGCCTGTTTAGCGAATGGATTGGCGACGGCCTCAACATCTACGTTGGTGCTCTGAGTGGGGCCAACATCGCCAGCGAGATTGCCGCCGAGAAGTGGTCCGAGACGACGATTGCCTACGACCCGCCGCCCATGGACAACAGCAGGGCGCCCACGCCTCGCTCCCAGAGCCCCAACGTGACCATGACGGTCACTGAGCCTACCGACATGGAGCATCGCGATGCCCGGGGCCGCAAGTCCAAGGCAAAGCTGACGCCCGTGCCGGCCGAGTACCCGCCACTCGACCACGAGTGCTTCCGCACTCTGTTCCACCGCCCTTACTTCCACGTCCAGATGGTCTCTGACGTCGCCGGTGTGTCGCTGGGCGGTGCGCTGAAGAACATTGTGGCCCTGGCCGCCGGTTTCGTGGACGGTCGTGGCTGGGGTGACAATGCCAAGGCTGCCGTGATGCGCATCGGCCTCATGGAGATGGTCAAGTTTGGCAAGGAGTTCTTTGGCGAGACGGTGCGCACCGGTACCTTTACCGAGTCGTCGGCCGGCGTCGCCGATCTCATCACCTCGTGCTCGGGCGGTCGCAACTTTCGATGCGCGAAAAAGGCTGTCGAGAAGGGCATCACCGTGGACGAGGTGGAGAAGCAAGACCTCAACGGACAGAAGCTGCAGGGTACGAGCACTGCGTTTGAGGTGAACAGCTTCCTCAAGGCCCGCGGCCTGGAGAAGGACTATCCCTTGTTTACTGCCGTCAATGCCATTCTGCTGGGCAAGGCGAGCGTTGACGACATTCCCAATTTGGTTTCTGAGACGGAGAAGAAGCAGCTATCTGTTTTGTAAGGCGCGAGCAAGCATCAAAGAGAGATCGATTATTGTGTAGACAGCGGCTATGATGTGAGGTTTGGTGGGCAGGAGGCGTTTGGGATATACATGTCATAAAGCGGTAGATCCGGCTGGGAATTGTTATATCTTGGTTACTGCATGTGCTTTGATAATCTGATATTATTCTATCTATCGATTCTCGTGTCAAGTCATTCCCGTGCATGGCGAATGCCTCCAAAAACAAGTCCCTTTACAACTCTCTTCGTGACTTCTACATCCACACGTTAAGCTACATGACCATGACATATATCCATACCCATCCCATGAAAATCCAGTAAAACTCCCATGATGTAATCAAACCCTCTGAAATCCCATCCAGCTTATGATGCAATTGAGATTTTCCCATAAACCCTCCCATTCCCTACGCAGATCCGAACCACCACCCCATCCCGAACCAGGGTCCGGGACGATCCTCCGGTGAATGTGGGAATACTATTACCCTATCTCTACCGTATCTATCCATCACCACTATGTATCATCATAGTCTACTTCCTTGGATCCCGCAGCTTCTAGATTCCCGCGGAAATAGCATGACGAGTCTATATCGGTTTACTCGGTACGGTGGAGACTTGGGAAGCCGTTTAGGCGAACAGAGTTCGATGTGCAACTTAGCCTCGCCGATCAGTTTTCTCGGCTTTCGTGATTCTGGGTCCTCTGAGGAGCAAACCGGTGGTGTCGATCGGTGGATGGATGGGTGAATGTATCGGCTATGCACTACATCATACTTCAAATAAATTGTTCCATTGGCATCGGCATCATCTACGAAACGTTGATTACAAAGAAAGAAGAACAACATGATAACTCTTCTGCCTACGCCTTTCAACACCATCACCACCACACCTCCCCGGAATCCCATATCCTTGCAAGATCTCATACACACACAACGCACACGTACACACATGTACGATGAATCACACACATCGTCCGCCAAGCAAACGCAGACCCTATACAGTTTCCTCCGACCTGCAGCAGGCCCTCCCCCCCAGCCCTATCAGGCAAGCATGTAGTAGTAGTAGTATTGTACTTATGGTAACTGAACATTTCCACATTTACACCCCCGTAGTCATAGCCGGCCAGGTCCCTCACCCCCCCTTTTGCGGCAAGTCACTGTGCCGATCGCCTTTTTCTATTTCTGCGTACGTACGTGGGACCGACCTGGGGCGGATCGGCGGGAAGACTGTCGTTCCCTGTGGGAGAGAGGCTAGGGATGCGGAATGACGAACGTGGGCAGGGTTTGGGTGTTGTATGAGATGTGAGATTGTGCATATTCGACGACATGGCTTTGAGGGGTTGGGAGCAGTGGTGATTCTGTCAGATGTTGGGTGTGTGTTGTGGGAGTCTGGACGGCTTCTCGGGGATGGGTTTTCGATGAGGAAGGATGGAATTGACTATCTAAAACTGTTCGAGATGTCCAATTGGCTGTTGAGCAGCAGTCGTAGCGGTTCGTGGAGAGATCATGAGGTGGTGAGGCTGTAGTTGAACACCAGGCTCGACAGTGAGATGCCAAAACTTCAAGGGTAATCGGGGTATTTGCTTCAGGAGTAAAGCGTGCAGAGCAATTGTCATTACATGTATATGAAGATTCATGAAGAGCAAATCAATCGGTTAAGGCGTGGTTGCGCCTGCGTGCAGGCCGCCCTACAGCTAACAGTAAGATTGGGTGTTGTAAGTTGTGAATAGCGTCAATCTCAATTCCGATTAAGCATCAGACTACAACACCACAAAGAACGAACGGCAACGAATCAAGTGCTCATTAACTTGTTTCATTAGATCATTAATATATAGTCAGGCCGCTTCTACATTAACAGCCTGCGATTCTACCTGCTTCACCCACCGCACCGCGCTCTCCCTCAGATAATTCTCAATCAGCTCCGACCCGCAGTTGCCATGCTCCAGCAGCATGTTCTTGAGCACGATGCGCTCCGCGATCAGGTCCTTCAAGATCTGCGACAGCTGCCGGTTCTCCTCCTCCAGCGCGTCGTGCTTGGAGCTGAGCTTCTCGACGGCGATGCGCTGCCGGCCGCGGCACTTGTCCGCCGCGACCCGGTTCTTCTCCCGGATGCGCGCCCGGCTGGCTTCCTGCTCTTGCGCCGTCTTGGTCCGGCGAGGCCTTTTGGAGATGCCTCCCTCCTCGACGGGTGATGCTTTTGGTGATGTCTTTGGTGATGAAGTCTTTGATGATGATGATGATGTCTTTGATGATGATGAAGATGATGATGATGTCTTTGGCGATGATGTCTTGGTGGTAGATGCTTTCCGAGGCTTCGTCTGCTTCTTGGGGGGAGGTGATGAAGGTGAAGGCTCCTCTTTGAATGTGTGTAATGATGAAGGGGCTATTGAGATGAACTGGTCGAAGGATGTGTTTTCTGAGGGAGAGGTGGCGGTTGTGGAAGGGCTCAGCTCCCGTCCGGGCGAGAGCTGGTCGTTGTGATAGTCCCAGATGGGGGTGCCGGCGCCGACAGAGCTGTCGGTGTTAGAGACGACGCTCTCCGTCGGAGGGCTGTGGAAGCATGGGTCGGGATACTTGAGGAAGCCCTCTGTCATGTCCCATTCGGTGGCCTGCCAGGGGAGGGTAGGCAGGAAGGCATCTGGGTGTTGTTCTAGACCGGCGGCTGCGCCGTGGCACATGTTGGGCCATTTCGGTGGCAAGGCAGCGGCGCCGTCCCGGTCCGCCGGCGGAAAGGGCATGGCGATGTGTCCTGCATGGGCGTAGTCTGGACCGCAGGCGATGAAAGGGGGAGCCTCGGTAAGGCCTGCCATGATGCCAGTGCGCAGAAGTAGGGCTTGGTGCTGGGTGGACGATGATATCTTTGTGATGGTGTTATGAGGTGCAAGAAAAAGGCACAGACGTGGGCTGATTCAAGAGTCCAAAGCAGGATTCGGGCAGTCCAAAATGAGCCAAAATGGTTTTTACAGGTAAGCTAGATCGGCGAGCAAAGGGAGAGGAGGAACTTGCACCGACAAAGAGGAGGAAACGTCATTCTTAAATATATACTCGGCCGGATCGCCGCCTGCTTGGGGCCTTTGGACAGTAATACCGCGACCCCGAGTTTGAAGTGAGATTCTCTTACCCCTGGCACCGTTGGATTTGGCACAAGTCGTATTAGCGCGCTGGAGCCAGCCAAGCCATGCCTCAGACCGTTTGGAAAAAGCAATCGTGGACAAAGCCAGGGAGGGCACACAAGGTTCAAACTAGGCAATTGATCTGAGCAAGCGCTGGCCGCCGGACAGTGCAGCCAAGGCATGGCGCACATACATGCATACATACATGTAGCACAACCCGGCCTGTGGAGAGGTGCGTCACGAAGGTGGCCCGGCGGGTCGCCCACACGTACTAGGACATGGTGCCAAGCGGAGTGTGATGGCTTCGTGCAATGGCAGAGGGCTTGCAGTAAGGAACGTAGTCGGTGCTCCGGACCAAGCAGCAGGTAGAGCACACCACCACGACGAAGCCGGCCCCCGTTCCGGATGGAGACCAAATCCGTCCCCTTTCCCAGGCTAATAAGGCTTGTTTTGTTGTCCGGGCCAGCTCCACGGAGGGGGAAATTTGAGAGCTTGAGCACAATCCTGCGCTTCCAAGTAGTATACCCATCTTGAAGGAGCTGGGCGGGTAAAGATTGGAGCAGTGTTCCTGTCTCCAGTGCCCGGCATCCTCGGTGACCAAGGAACAGCCGTTGCCTCCAAAGCCCCCAAGCAAGCGTCTGTACATACATACGAGTAAACGCGCCTCATCCCGACCCGCGGTCATCCTCCCAAGCTTCCACGCCCGTTTGTATGTACGTCCGCATGTATGTATGTCGAGTCCCCTGGTATGTCGCAAGGCCCAACACCCACACCGAAGCAGAGGCATGTCCTTCAGCCAGGAAATCCCCGGTTCTCCTTGCAGCCTCCCCGAGAGACCCGTGGTCCATCGCCATGAAGCGAGGCCCGCCGTCCAATTGACGAAGCCGTCGGCGCTTCCCTCGACGAGCGCTAGAGGCTCCGGCCGGATGGCTTGGTGGGGGCCCTCGAGGGGAGGCCGGGGGCCCGCCAGCTCTGAAGCTCGATCGCCGCCATCTATCTCGATCGCGATAGAGTCTGTCGGGCTCGCAGCGTCGATGCGTGTCGATGGGTGTCGATGCTTGTCGAACATGAGACGGAGGAAATGCTCCGGAGAAAAAGCTCCGGCCCGCCCTGGCACACGAGGCAGTTCTCTCCAATATCACCGACCCACCGCCAAAACAGGGACAGCATCAAGGTTGGAATAGCTTCTTGGTCGAGCATAATGTGGCGGTTGGGCCCCAGATGGCTCCATTCCGGGCTCAACAGGTGTAATATTATGGTCCAAGCGAGCAGCAGCAATCTCGATGACCGTCCGAAGGGAGGGGGAAAGCTCCGGGAGGAGACGAGAGAAGAGAGAAGAGGAGACGGGAAGCCAGTCACGTGCGCCATCACGTGCCGCATCGGTGACCGTTGAAGGCCCTTTGAATGGCGTCCCTCTTGGGAAACTGGCCCGGCCGGCTAAAGCCAAGCTTGGAACTGTCAAGGCTCCTCAGCCCGCCCAGCTTCTCCACAGCCGTGCAGCCATCCTGTTTCTGCAAGCCACTGCACCCTCCGGGTTGCTTCCTTGGAACCGGCGAGGACCTGTTTGGCGGCCGTTTGGCGGCGCTGATATAGAGGCGATGCTTCCCTGGGAAGGTGTCCGTCTCGGCACCTTGGGCACTCATACCACGGCACAAGCCAACATGCCACCAGGCCGACACGTCGTCTTATCGTCTTACGAGGAGTGCTCACGCTGGGCACGAATGAGGCATGGACAGCTTTTGTAAGACGGGGTACTTCGACCAGACCGACAATGGCGTCTTTGACAGAGGCCTTCCCGGCGGGCATCGACCGTGAGAGGAATGCAATAACCGAGCTTCGAAAGTGCCAGCATCGTATCTCGACTCCATCCGACCATGTACTACAAGTACTGCTATCGCTGCTAGACGTGTGAAATTTGCATCCGGAGACGCCAGGCCTTGGAACTACATGAACGAGTCTAATGCACGTTAGCGGCCACAGAGTTGGATGGGGTTGAACTTACGCGAGCTCTTAGCTTCCTCGACAGGAACTTGAAGCCATCCCTGGCAACCTGGCAACCTGGATACCAAACACCACAGAGGGACGAAGCTCCTTTGCTCATTGGTGCAAAGTATCCCATCTTATCACCCATCTGTGCACGTCATCGCCTAAAGCCAGGACGGATTCCTCCTATCAAACATGCTAATACCTTCGAAGTACTGGTACCTCCAGGTCATCGATCGATGCGATGCAGATGCTCCACGAAGATGACCACCAAAGTCTTACTTTTGCTCCGGGACGCGAGTCGAGCTTCAAGTTGTGATTGATTATTATTTGCAGCGATGGGAAGGGGAAAAGGGTTCAATCTGTGGACGTCTCCAGCAAATTAGAAAACGGGGCTGACAGGCGTTCCACCCATAAACCATGATCCATGCCCCATCTTGTCTCCAAAGAGCCCATGTCGTCATGAGCTATTCCGGTTATGCCAAAGACACAGCAGGGAAAAAGACATGTTCAGGAGGGGAAACTTCAGGGAAAACTTTAGGGAAAACTTCCGCGCGGCAAGATAAGGTAGCTATCGCAGATTGCGGGAGAGTCTACTCCGTACAATTCCTCTAGTGCCACTCTCGCCAGGAGCGTTCAATGGTGGATTGGTCCATGTCCGTGTCATTACAGTCGGAAAGGACGAGCAGGCCGGGAGAAAATCGCTTTCATGAGGTTTGCTTGACGGACCTGTTGAACGAAAGATGTGAGGCGCAGTATCTATCGTCAATCCTACATCAGGTATTCCGCGGATAAAGACCTTGTGGAATCAATACTAAGGTGTTTGGATGTCTGCCCGCTTCAGCACAAAGATGTATCCGATTTCTGATTCTCAGCTCCTGACATGCCTGGTATCACGACCATCGCGATGCAGTTGTCTCGGAATTCTCCGACTGGTTGCTTTCAGAAAGTACAGGTAATACCAATGGCCTGCCGAAGAGAGGGGAACTTGGAGCCACGGCTAGGAGCAGTTTTGTCGAGGTTGTGGATCTTTGCAAGTCGGATAAGGTAGATGAGTCCATTGTCCCTCCGGCAGTGGGATGGGTATAACGAATGCTGTGAAAACATGCAACTGACAAATGAACTCGTACAAAAGCGATGATTGCGAGCTGGAGGAGCCAGATCGAGCAGCATTCGCTCGGGCCATCGACGACGCTACAGATGCTGTGAATATGATGGTGGGGACTGCACCAATAGGCAGCAATTGTGGCTTCACGGAGTGAAATTTGCTGTAATGCAATGCTCGGTGGGGGGTTTTTGGGTTGAAATCTCGGGCCTTGGGGGAGGTTAAAAATGCTGTGAAACAGACTGGGAAATATTCAAGATTCCCCGGAAGGTCGGTTTTAAGAACCCTCAAAGGCCCCTTAATACAATCAGCGCCGTTCAACGCCAAGCGGTCGTCAAGAAAAGCGAGACTAGATTTCAAATTAACGCATATATTCGTCAAATATGTGCATCAGCTCCAGCTTATAGCTTTGACATATGCTTATAGCTTTGACGTATGTCATGTGCGTAATTGGAATTTTTGTGTGTTCATCACGGAATTGTTAATTTCCCTTTTTTTTACCTCTTCGAACGCTTCTTGGCTGTGTCAAACCGCTTAATGTTTGCATCAGCTAGGAAACAAAGTAGGTTAATCGTCCCTCCGTCGATGAGAAAGGGGCAGGAAAATGCTGTGAGCGACTTGGCCTGCTTTCGCCTTGTTGCCTCATGCCATGGATGAGGCTACATAAGATGGCTGTACACTGCGAGTGATGGAAATTGAGGATCGATTGATGTGGGCGCTGAAGTCGTCCTATTGTCTGCAGGAATTCGTCGTCCAAGGAGTACATTTGTACAGCTCACTGTCTCTTTCTTTTTCTCTTGCGAAGTCCAGGATGTTGCTGTGATATTTTTACAGAGCGGTAGGTTGCAGTAGTTGCGGACATGCTGAAAAGGTAGAGACGTGGAAGCTCCATGTAGCGGAATATACGTGTAAGTCAGAAGCCCCGGTAATGTTAGGGTTCAGTATGCGCATCCGGTCCAAGCAGAGAAGCCAGAAATGTTATCAAAGTCACACATCATCTCTTGGTGGATGAAGAACCTAATATCATTGTAAAGGCAAAGAGCAATTCGGAAATCCTGCGCAGCGAGTTTCCAGAGCGTCGTCCAACGAAGCTTGCTGAACTGTGGGTTACCTAAGAATGAACTACTATTACGAAGAAGATACACCTCTGCGCTCATTGTCGTGACAAGTTTTCAAGCATTAGACCATGAAGATAGAAAGAGAGAGAGAGAGAGTAGATATATATATTGTATGGATCCGAGGTACTAGAAACTTCCAGAGAAAGCTGCGCTTATTGATGCATGTTGTGCAGGGTAGAGGTATGCTCAAAGCATCAATTATGCCGATCGTTTGGTGTTTGTCACCGCCTGTCCCATAAACCAAGCCTACAGCGACATAGAAACACCAAGTTCTGTTTCTGGTATTTGTAATTCATTTTGAAGGACAAAGAGGAGGATAGAAAAGTGGTGATGCCTGTTAGGAGACAAAGGTCACTGGCGCTCGTAGATTTTCATCAACTGAGATACTCTCTGTAGGAAACCATTCATACAGACTTTAGCCGGACTTCGGTAATCAACTCCGCGCGCTCCTGGAGCATTCTAGTATCTATCCTTTCGGACAAACGAGGATCCTATGAACAGGTTAACGGGTATAGGAGCACAAACAGCGCGATTGGTGCCTCGTGTCGTTGGCGGACTATTCTCAATCTCAGCCCCTCGCGTCATCCAACATGAAGTCCGCTCATTGTCACGTTAGGACTCCTCCCCAACCCCTCTACGAGTACAAAAACAGACAAAAGCACCGATGACACCGGCATTTTGGAAATCCGAGCAAGACCGAGCTTCGATCCCAACGGCGCAACACCATCTGCGAAGACCGCGTGGCAACGACTTTGTAATCCATATTGTCATGAGATAATACCGTAGGATGCGCGAAAGAAGAAAAAGCGATTATATAAGCGAACGAATGTGTCTCGGAGATTACAAGTAGTAACAGCTGATTTCGCCGGCTGTCGAGACAAAAAGCTCTAACCTCGTTTCGTATTTCGACGGCCCGTGATTCGAGGCTTGCCGGCAGCTAATCGGTCAGTGGGTGCCGGTAGCGCGATCCTGTTGCTGTTTTGGGCAATGCCAAAGTCCGCCCTGGGAGATCTGGATCTGCGTGGGCCGGTGATAGGGGGGATCGGAGCGAGGGGAGGGATGAGGCTGTGGATATGGCATGACGACGAGGAAGATGGAGAAGAGGAGGAGGAGTTGGATGAAGAGGATTCGAGAGTTGCCGGGAAAAAGGTATAAAAGAAGGGGAGAATCGTCCATCTTGAAGAGAAAGAAGAGAGCAGGTCAACACAGCAAATACACTTCTTCACACACTTATATCGAGATCCACCGACCAAAGATCCCCAAAAATCACCATGTCGATCAAGTACGCTAAAGACCAGCCTGCAGGCTTCACCAACCGCATCGAGAATGTGGCCATTGTCGGGGTAAGCCTTGAGCTTTAAGCCTTATACCTGCCAACTCTCCTCCTCTGCTCGCTCTGCTACTTTCAGTGCTAACCAATCTCTCACCAGGCTGGAGGCCAAGTTGGCAAACACATCGCCGAAGAGCTTCTCAAGACCGGCAAGCACACCGTTACTGCCATTACTCGCATTGGCAGCAACAGCGAGCTTCCCAAGGGAGTCAAGGTTGCTCCGGTGAACTACGATGATGAGCAGACCTTGGTCGACGCGCTCAAGGGCCAGCAGTTCCTCTTCATCTCCCTTGCCGTGACGGCTCCCAAGGACGCTCAAGCCAAGATCATCGCCGCGGCTGCCAAGGCCGGCGTGACATGGGTCATGCCCAACTCGTACGGCGGTGACTTTGCCAACAAGGCGATGCAGGCGGACACCATGACCCTGGAAGGAGCCGAGGCTGGCGTCGCCGCGGCAGAGAAGGCTGGCTTGTCCTGGATCTACATGTCCTGCAGCTTCTGGTACGAGTACTCACTTTCCATGGGCAACGCGTGGTACGGCTTCGACATTCCCGAGAGAAAGGTCACTTTCTACGACGACGGCAAGACGCGCATCAACACGTCGACCTGGCGCCAATGTGGCCGGGCCGCGGCACAACTGCTCAGCCTGAAGGAGCTGCCCGACGACGAGAACGACAAGTCGCCTACCATCTCTCAGTGGCGCAACAAGCCCCTCTACATCTCCAGCTTCCTGGTTTCACAGCGAGACATGCTGGACAGCCTCAACAGGGTGCTGGGCACCACGGACGCCGACTGGCAGATTGAGTACGAGCCCACCGATGTTCGGTACAAGCGAGGCCTGGAGCTGTTCAAGACGGGCAACGTGGTGGGCTTCGGCATGGCCCTGTACTCGCGCGCCTTTTATCCCAACGGTGACGGCAACTTTGAGGCCAAGTATGGCCTGGCCAACAAGGCATTGGGACTGCCAGAGGAGGACCTTGATGAAGCCACTAAGGTGGCGGTTGAGATGGCCGAGGCGGGCTTCGCTGCTAAACGAATCCGAGTCGTCTCTGAGCTCGCTCAGCACGCCAAATAGACGACATCCGACGAGGGAGAGGCGCGGAACGGCTTTCTGTTGGATGCATGAATAGGCACTGGTCAGGCATCAAGACGGCGGTTTCGACGCGCTGCAGCTGGGAGATGTGACTGGAGTGAGTCGCTGATTGGGCGGAGCGTGCTGGATCGGATGATGTCGTCTGTTGGTAGTGTCGTGAGTTTGATGAATATGCAGATCTCTTGCAAATGGCCTTGATTGTCCCAATGCGTGCAATACTGTGTTAGTGATAGAGTGTCGTATTATGGAGTCTTCGTCTGGTCGTGGAGGGATATCGTGAACTAAGGCAATAAGGTAGTAATCTAGTCAGGTCGGCAAGGCTGGCTAGGGAGGTTAAGTAAGAACCAAGGCGGATGACAACAGCCTAATCGTGACGTCATGGCCCCTGAGTAGCGGGGTTGACGATGAGACAGCTTCAACAGGTTCTTGATCAAGGTGGGAGGCACAGCATCGCCAGATTCAGTCGGAACAATTTGGCAATCGGAAAATGGAGGAATTCGATATGAATTGGATCGAGATGCAGTGATTTGCAACGGGATTTACACCTGGTTGCCAGATGTTTACGAGCTCGATCCCGAGGGCGTGGGAGGGCGCAAGCTTGGATCTGAGCTTCTGAAGCTACTTACCGGATTCCGGAGCCGCCGCTGGTGGTGTAGCAGCAAGCCACCGCATGGGAACCGTGCCCCTAGGAGGAAACATCTCATGGCATTGATGGTATCGCCTTGCTGCTAGAGGGGAAAGCTAGCGGACTGTAGCTTCGCCTGGGGCTACAGTCCTTGCGGCATTACGATGGCATTGGCATGATGTCGCTGATACAGCATCGGCAGCTGATACCTGTCATCTTACCGCAATTGAGCTTTGCAGATGGGTCCCTTACTTGGGCAGCTTCCCTCGCGGTTAACCCTGGAACAAAATCACCAAAAAGTCCAGAGCAAAATCAACAGGAGCAAGAAATACCGTAGCAACCCGTCAGCACAACTTGGCGCCAGACATGCAGCGTTTTCCTTGATTTCGCGGGTGGTTCCTGGTGCCTTGGAACCGGGCTCAAGCAGCGCCCCTCCAGCAGCGCCTGCACCGTCTTGGGCCAAGTTCGACATGACAGTGACATGACACCAAGAGGCTGCCGGCCAACCAGCAGCAGCCGCTCGCTCGCTTGCGGGAAAAATAGCAGATGACTTGCGCGCGCCGAATCCCTCGTGTGTGGCCGCCCGTCTGTGCCCAAAAAGGGAGGCTTCCGGTCTGGACGTGAACTGGGAGCATCTCGCCTCTTGATCCTGCTCCCTTACCTCGCACCCGGAGCCCTCTGACCGCACGACGTTACAGCCTCCAGTCTGCTAGCCCTCTGGCACAGCGGATCACACCGGAGCCGATCCCTGCTAAGCAACCGCCTAGGCACGCCTGGAGCCCGCTGAGCGTCATCACAGCCCACCAAAGGGCCAGCTACAAAACCAGGCCGCGGGGCAGCCGCCGTTGGGCCCCTCTCCCTTTCCACCATGAGCCCAAGAATCATGACGACCACCGAGGTTTATCTGCTGCCGCTCAACGACGACGGCTCGCCTCAGGTGGCGGGAGAGTACATCTATCTCGAGCCCAAGAGCGATGATCCGCTCACGATCCGGTTCGCCATTGAGGGCACGTCGTCGGTGTGCCGCAATGGCAGTCTCTGGGTCAACATCCCGGAGCAGGGACAGGAGTTTCGGCGGGACAACTTTCGAGAGTACAAGTAAGCCAGAGTTGATATCTCGTTGATTTCTCTGGGCGAGGCTGACATACGATTTCCCCAGACTGACTCCCGACTTCAACCGCACGCTCGAAATCTCCATCCCCATCTACGAGTCCGGCGTCTTTGCCTTCTACACCACCTATGCCGAGCTGCCCAAGCTCGATGACGACGATGCTCCAAAGCCCTCCGACCGCCACGAGGCTCTGAAGAAGACGCCTGTGTACTACATCGATGTTGCTCCTCGCCTCAAGCTGGATGGCCGGCCATTGCCGCTGCCGGCTCTGTCGCTCTTCTCCATTATCAGCAAGCTCATGGGCCGCTTCCCTGGCGATTGGGAGCGGCACCTGCGGGGCATCAGCGAGAGGGGATACAACATGATACATTTTACTCCTCTGCAGGTCCGAGGAAGCTCAAACTCGCCGTACAGTCTGTATGACCAATTGGGCTGGGATCCCGCCTGCTTTCCCCGGGGCGAGAAGGACATTGAGGAGCTGGTCGAGAGTCTCGAGCAGAAGTACTCCCTGCTGAGCTTGACCGACATTGTCCTCAACCACACTGCACACAACACAAAGTGGCTAGAAGAGCATCCCGAGGCCGGTTACAATTTGGTGACGGCCCCATGGCTGCAGTCGGCTTACGAGCTTGATACAAAGCTGCTGGAGCTTGGCGGCCAGCTGGAGAAGCTGGGACTGCCCGTCGATATCAAGACCACAGAGGACCTCCTGCAGCTCATGGAGGGCATCAAGAAACACGTCATTCTCGAGCTTCAGCTGTGGGAGTACTATGCCATCAATGTCGAGCGAGATGCCGACAAAATCGTCGAGGCGTGGGTTGGCGGCAAAGCCGTCCCGCCCCAAAACGGCTCTGCTACGATGAGCGACTTTGAGCATCTCAAGACGGCAGAGCTCAAGGAACAAGTCGAGTTCATCAAGAAGTTTGCTCTCCAGGGCACTGACCGGCTAGGAGAACGATTCCGCCGGCGAGTCGAGCCCAACGTTGCTGCTACCCTGCTCTCATTTGCCTTTGGTCGCTACGAGGGCGAAAGCACAGAAACAATCAACACAACGGCTGCCAAGGCCAAGATTGTCGAGATCCTCGATGCCATCAATGTGCCCTTTTACGAGGAATACGACAGGGATCTCAACCAGATTCTGGAACAGCTCTTCAACCGCATCAAGTATGTTCGCATGGACGATCATGGGCCCAAGCTGGGCCCGATCAATGCCGCCAATCCCATCATTGAGACGTACTTTTCCCGGCTGCCTGAAAACGAAACAACAGCGAAACTCGCTCCGGGAGAGAGGGCGCTGGCGAACAATGGCTGGGTATGGGGTGGTAACGCCTTGGTAGACAATGCCGGACCCGACTCTCGCGTGTACCTGAGGCGAGAAGTCATTGTCTGGGGAGACTGCGTCAAGCTGCGATACGGATCCAGCCGGGAGGATAGCCCATGGCTGTGGGATCATATGACACAGTACGCCCGGATGCTGGCCAAGCACTTTGCCGGCTTCCGCATCGACAACTGTCACTCCACCCCTATTCACGTTGCGGAGCACATTCTGGACGAGGCTCGAAGAGTTCGACCCAACCTCTACGTTGTTGCCGAGCTCTTCACGGGTTCTGAAGAGATGGACTACGTCTTTGTGAAACGTCTCGGCATCAGCTCTCTCATCCGCGAAGCCATGCAGGCGTGGAGCACGGGAGAGTTGAGCAGACTTGTCCACAGACACGGCGGTCGCCCTATTGGCAGCTTCGAGGTGGACGACATCTCCAAGTCGGATGTCAATACGCCATCAGGCTCCCAAGGCAAATCAAACCTCACAAGGGAGATTATCCGAACCATACGACCATCACCTGTCCACGCCCTGTTTATGGACTGCACCCACGACAACGAGCCGCCTGCGCAGAAGCGTGATGCGCGAGACACGCTGCCCAACGCCGCTCTGGTCAACATGTGCTCCAGCGCCACTGGAAGCGTCATGGGCTACGACGAAATCTACCCCAAACTGGTGGATCTCGTGAATGAGAAGCGCCTCTACACGTCTGAATCGTCGAGAACCGCAACGATTAAGGTGGGCAGGGGCAAGGGCGGCATTGGTAGCATCAAGAAGCTCTTGAACCAGATCCACACCCTCATGGGCAAAGACGGCTACAACGAGACGCACATCCACCACGAGGGAGAATACATCACTGTGCACAGAGTGCATCCCGAGTCCAGAAAGGGCTACTTCCTCATTGCCCACACCGCGTTCCCCGGATACGGCAATGGAAGGGGAGAGTTCAATCCTGTGCTGCTAACGGGGACTCGAGCCAACCACCTGGGTAGCTGGATGCTTGAGGTCGATGACCGGGAGGAAACCGTCAAGGCTGTCCAGAGCGATACCAAGTTCCTCCGGGGCCTCCCCAGCCAGGTCGTAGATGTTCCTGGCATCAAGATGGAGTACCATGGTCAAGACACCACAATCTCCGTGCGGGATAAGTTCCCTCCCGGCAGCATTGCTCTGTTCGAGACCTGGATTCCGACTGCAGAACACTCGACCGGCTTGGACAACTACGTCACCTCAGGCGCCAAGGCGGCCTGGGCCAATCTGAATCTCATTGATCTCAACTTTTTGCTGTACCGGTGCGAGGCAGAGGAGAGGGATGCCACCGATGGGCAGGACGGGGTATATGATATTCCCGGCCATGGAAAGCTCGTCTATGCCGGACTGCAAGGCTGGTGGAGCGTCCTCGAAGGGATCATTCACGACAACAATCTTGGACACCCGATCTGCCAGAACCTGCGAGACGGTCATTGGGCACTGGACTACATTGTGGGCCGGATTCAGAAGCAAAGCCATGCCTTCGGCAGTGAGGGTCTCTCCGGGCCAGCAGCCTGGCTCAGGGAGCGTTTCGAGGCCATCAGGGCCATCCCTAGCTTTCTACTGCCGAGATACTTTGCACTGGCCATCCGCACCGCGTACCGAGCCAGCTGCGATCGTGCCTTTGAGCTGATGAACGAACATGTGGCCAAGGGCCAGTGGTTCCTTGGCAGCCTGGCCTTGGTCAGCATCCAGCAGACAGGACTTGTCAAGTCGGCCTCTTTGTGGCCAGACAAGCAGGTGCCCTCGATTGCCGCTGGTCTGCCGCACTTTGCAGTGCAGTGGGCGAGATGCTGGGGCCGCGACGTCTTCATCTCCATTCGCGGACTCTATCTTGGCACCAGCCGTTTTGCCGAGGCAAAGGAGCACATACTTGCCTTTGCCAGCGTGTTGAAGCACGGCATGATCCCCAACCTTTTGAGCAGCGGTGCCGCACCGCGTTACAACTCACGAGACTCGGTGTGGTTCTTCCTCCAGGCGATTCAGGATTACACTCGCTTCGCCCCCGAGGGACTTGACTTGCTCAAGGTGAAGGTCAGGCGTCGCTTCCTCCCGTACGACGACACCTGGTTCCCAGTAGATGATGAGCGAACATACTCTGTCGAGAGCACAATCGAAGAGATCATACAGGAGGCTCTCCAGCGACACGCCTCAGGAATGAAGTTCCGCGAGGCGAATGCTGGACCCCAGATCGATTCGCAGATGAGAGACGAAGGCTTCAACCAAGAGATCAAGGTCGACTGGAGCAACGGTATCATTTTTGGCGGCAACCAGTTCAACTGCGGCACTTGGATGGACAAGATGGGCGAGAGCGAAAAGGCCGGCTCAAAGGGCATCCCCGGGACTCCTCGCGATGGCGCCGCCATTGAAATCACCGGCCTGCTCTACAGCACCTTGAGATGGGTAGAACAGCTGAGCAAGCAAGGGAAGTTTGCGTACTCGGGTGTCAAGACGGCAGAGGACAAGGCCGTCTCCTGGACCGAGTGGGCTGATCTCATCAAGGCCAATTTCGAAAAGTGCTACTACGTGCCGTTGTCTCCCGAAGACGATGCCAAGTACGATGTCAATCCCAGTGTCGTCGCTCGACGAGGCATCTACAAGGATCTGTACAAGTCCGGCAAGGAGTACGAGGACTACCAGCTGCGACCCAACTTTGCCATCGCCATGACGGTGGCCACCGATCTCTTTGACCCCAAGCATGCCTGGCACGCGCTATGTCTTGCAGACTCGACGATCCGCGGGCCCACCGGCATGGCGACTCTGGACCCTGCCGACAAGGATTACCGGCCGTACTACCGGAACAGCGAGGACAGCCACGACTTTGCGACGAGCAAAGGCCGCAACTACCACCAAGGGCCGGAATGGCTGTGGCCAACGGGCTTCTTCCTGCGCGCGCTGCTCAAGTTTGATCTGCAGCGGAGGAAGACGGCCGAGGGCAGGACGGAAGCATTCCAGCAGGTGACGAGACGGCTGGCGGGGTGCAAGCGGGCGATACGCGAGAGCCCCTGGGCGGGTCTGACGGAGCTTACCCAAAAGAATGGAGAATTCTGTCCCGATTCTGTGAGTTGTCTCTTTTTCATTGCCGTCAGCCTTTTTGAGTTTTCATTATGCTAATATCGGTCTGTTTCCAGAGCCCGACACAGGCATGGTCCGCCGGCTGTCTCATCGATTTGTACATGGACGCGATGGAAGTGCAGGATGGTTTGAAGAATTGAGAGACGATGCCTTTTTAACGTACCTATGCAACACGAAGATTCATGAGTAAACGATATCAGCATGATGTAGAAAAAAAGGAAGCATCCTGGAGGGCGTGAGATTATCAAGGTAAACATGGTTATCATGAAGCCGCAAGAACATGGACGGTAAAAGAATGTGATATTTCACTCGTTCCTCTTCGACTACATGCAATGTTTGCCCACAGAGCAGAGCCACTCGTGACGAGCGCCTACAATAGAATGTTGAAATGTGTATGATATAGATGCGATATGATATGATGCGATATGACATCTCTCTGTGCCTCGTCTCACAGTCCATGCTCCGAGTCAATCCATGTCCCAGAAAGGAAGAAATTGGGTATGAAGACGCCCAAATTTCTAATTTCTCTTTCCCCCAATCCACTCCTTAACCCTTGTTTTTGAAGATACAAGCAAGATCCCATCAGCTTTAGAAAAAAAGCATACAAAACGCAACCAACGCCGCAAATCCAACGAGTAATTCAAACAGAAATGATGTTGTAAATGAAATGTATGAGAATAGGAGTAATGTGGTCGATGAGGAGCGCCTGTTCTGCTGAGCCCGTCGCGCTTTGGAAAGGCTTGAGCCTGCTGGATTTGCTGAGCTTTGTTGATGAGTTATATGTGAAAGAGTAGTCGTTTCGATCAACATGTTCTTCGGAAGAGGCGACATCTGTCCAGGATGAAAGATAAAATAAAAGAGAGTATGAAAGTTGCAAGTGTCGTAGTGCGCGTCTTGATTAGGCTGCTGTATAAAATGTCCTCATGTCATCCCATCTCTTTTCTTCATTGCCTGGAAACTCCTTTTTTTTGTTTCTCATGATGAGGAAAACGGCCACAGCTTCGCTCTCGTCGTCGTGCCGCGCTTCTCGGAGGTGGAAGTAAAGTTCGGCAGAGCGGCGGCCGCATGCGCCTTGTCCTGGTAGGTCATGGGAATGCCTGCACCGGCTTCCGCGGCGGGCACGCCAGAGCCCCAAGAGTTGGTGTTGCCGCCGCCGGCTTGTCGTCGGAGTTCGCGGTTGCGCAGGTAGCGGCGGCGCCAGATGCAGGCGCCAATCCAGATGCCGGCGATACCAACGACGAGGATGACGAGCATGACGACCCATTGCCAGTGGTTGGAGATCCTGCGGGAGAGCACGGATAGTCAGTATCTGAGAAATGAAACAAGTAAGGCTGCTGGGGTGATGGCCTACCAGTCGCCGCTCGGGGCCTGGTCTGTCCGCTGGGGAGCGGAAGGATTGCCGGTGGTGGTGGTTGTGGTGCTGGTGGTCGTGGGCGCAGCTACGTTCTTGACGTTGCAGACGCTGTGGTACCAGTTCGTGATGGAGGCGAGGCCGTTGGGGTCGCCGGTACAGGCATTGTCGCATACGCCGGCAGTGGTGGTGGAAAAGGGCGCAAGACGAGGGTCGAAGCAGAAGCACGACGTGTAGGCGGCAGGGGTGTTGGTGGGAATGGCCGGAGGCACGCAGGCGCCGTTGGCATCGTAGAGGTGGCCGCAGGCGGCTGCGCAGGCGGGCAGCTGGGCGCGATCGGCAAAGGGCACGAGGGTGGTGATGGGCGCTTGAGCAGCTGCGGGCTTGTTAGACGGACCGCTCGGAAGTGGGAGAGCAGGGAGGCTTATGATTACCCATTGTGACGTGGTGGAGCGGGCGATGAAGGCGCAGAGGCGGGAGGAGGAGTCGAAGAATATGTACGATGAAGATCCGTCACGGAGGATGAGAGAAACCGCTTGAGAGATTGTTGACGCCTGCGTCAAGTCCTAAGCAATGGAGAAAACGAGAGAGATGTCGAAAAGTTTTGTTGTTTGTTTCAGAAACGACGCTTGGTCAAACACCGTGCGTGGGTCGAGATGCGCGAGCGAAGAGGAGAGAAAGAAAAAGACAAAGGTGAAAAAAATTCGGGAAAATCGTCGTCCAGTTAGGCGAGGGCCAAGCGAGTCGTATTTCCGTCTTCAGGACCGGATCCTATTCTCTCCTCGAGAGGCCTTGCTTTTCTTTCCGTCTTCGTCGTGGCTTGGGCGATTGTGGAGAGGACACAGAGAGTTCGGCGTTGAGCGTGACCGGCAGTGGCGGAAACGGCGCGTGTCGGGCGAGCGAAAGGGAAAACGAAGCGACAAAGTAGCGAAAGGAAGTCCGACGCGGAAGGGCCTGGCGATGGACGCGAGTTTGGTGTTTTGGCGGCGAGTCGAGGTCGAGGAATGGCGAGGACGAGCGTCAGCTCGAGACGAAGGGGAGGAGAGAAGGAAAAATAGAGTGGAAGCGCAGGGACTGGAATGGGTGGAGCGTGTGTCCAGCAGTCGGGACTCCGTAATAGTGGGAGGGATCCCTCGGATCAGTGGACGCTCCAGCACTTGGCGCCTGGCCGTATTGGCTGTGGCGCCCTGGTTGGGCTTCCGTTTCCAACTGACACAGCCCACGAGCGCTAAGACGGGCCCCGTCAGGAGCCAACGAGGGCCTGTGGAAGCCCGTATTCAGGCCATGGGGGGGTGCGTCAGCGGGAAATGCGGCCTGGGGAGGGTCTGACGGGGGGGGGGTGAGCAGGAGGAGGAGGAGCCCTGAGGATAGTAGGTGAGGAGTATAGGTTTCGTGCTTGACGATGAGATTGATATCACGATAAGAGGCTGAAGAAATTTCAACTTGATGCGCGTGAAAGGATGCACTGCACAAGACGTGAACATGTATAGGGTGAGCCCTCCGCTAACAGCTGTCGGTGTATTCGCAGTCAAGACGACAGATGTTAGTGCGTCCTCATGTCGTATTCTTTCGATAGCGGAATGCGGAGAGGGCGGGTAAATGCAACCGACTGTCACTGCTAGGGGTGCAAGTATCCGTACAAAGTGCATACAGCCGCGGACAATCAAACAATTACTAAGAACAGACGCAACACCACAACGAACGAGTTGATCCTCGCAGCCAACACAACTCGCAGAATCCCAAGATACACGTAACTTGCAAATAGTCATTCTCACAACCGCCGTCTCCCGTCAATATGCAAGTCCTTCAGACAAGTGTTTCGTCCCTTGGCCCCTAATGCCCCATACGTCATTTCTGCGCGCGGTCGGTACCGGTACCTGCACACTGGACAGCTCAAGTTGTGCCTTACCTTATCGATTGCCCGCGGATCATGTGCCGAGACTGGAAGGTGCAGTTACATAATGCCGACGGAACCACCACACACTCCAAGAAGAATAAACCCTCATCCTGTCCTTCTTTGCCTGACCAACGACTTCAAGGCTGGAGCCGTGCGCGACAGAATCCCGAGGCTGACCACCTGCTAATATTACATCTTGTGCTTGGTGCCTGGCAGCAGGTACGTGCCCGGTGGCAGTCGCACGTCTCTCACCCCCTGTCACCCATCTATGATCTCCGAAACAGGGGCTCAGCAGTGATTGGGTCCGTCATCTCAATTCTCGTTCTAGCCTCGTGCTCGTGTTCGCGCCGGGACCCTGCCCATTAGCCGGGGAAACAAAGTCATGACCAGGAACCGTCTTCGATATTGCTTCCACCGCTCCCTTGTTCACTACTGCGGCTCGTCTCGTGGCATCTATATGGCCTGCCCTCTGCTCCATATTCCGACACTCCGAAGAGCACCTGGCAACAGTGCGGGGACTCAGAAGCCATCACCGCTATGGCCCGATTCCATCCCGTCTCGGGGCAATCCTCGGCCTTGTGCTGGCGGAAGAATTCTCGATGCTGCTTACCTACTACAGGCCGTTACGAGGCTCGGAGGATGAGTACTATCCCGTAACCAACCAGGACCTACAGGATCCTCCGGTACGAAGTATATGCAGGCCTGAGGCTGTGCCAAGCAGTACGACGCTCTCGACAGCTACTCGTTCTGGCACCTACAGATTACTACATACAAAGTACAAGGGACACCGCAAATCCGAAATTTCCGTCAAGACATGTTTTAAATCTCCTATTCGAGTTTCGTTAATGCTCAGCCTCAGCCTCAGCATCTGCATGAAGGGCCGTGCTCAATTTCAAACTCATTCCCCCAACCGATTCGCCCTATCATATCAAACTTGGCGATGGTACCCGGATCAGAAATAATCCCACGAGACGCAAGTCGAAAACACTATACAACTACCATTCTTAACTCATTCACGACCACCGATTCAATGTATCTCCTGAGATTCACCCACTTCCCCGGAGCCTACGGGGCAAAGTCCACAACGGCCGCGAACATCACAAGGCTATTTGCCGGAGCCTTGAGTGGCCACCGTTGACCTGTCATCATCGTTCTTGGCTTTTGTATTTTGTCGACCGTCTTGGTTGCTCGTTGCAATGCCAATGACAGTCCCAGGAGCCAGCCAGGGATCACACTCAGTCGTGAATCTTTGGATCCCGTATGGCACCTGCGAGACGGCTAAACTCGATTGTGTTAGCATTCTTCTCTCAACCATCCGGAGATTGCATGTCTTGTTGGTCTTGGGAAGGGACCCACTGGGCTTATTCTTTGCTTGTGGCTTTGCCTGCGAGGTAGTAACGCTGTCTTGAGGCATCTTGTACGGATGCAGACCGCTCTCAGGTCAGAGGATTTATATCAGTTGCAAGAAGCGGTGATCTGGTGCTGTTTGGCAGAGTGTTGAGCTCAAACCTCTGAGAACACGGGCTCTTCTCATCGGGAGACCCTCTCTCTTTATACTTGTCGATTCTGCTTCTCCGGTTCCCATCTGATGGAAAACCCCAACCCGCGGTCGTCTTCTACAGGAAACTTCCTCTCGGCCAATCCCAACATGTCACATATCGCTCAGCCCACCGCACGGTCCATTCTGTACATGTGTGTAAAGAACACGCCTTCATATATGGCCGTCTATTGGCGGCAAGTCTGCATTTATGAAGCTGACGTGCACTTCGGCCCTTATCATACAATACACGGAAGCACAGCATGGATGGTTGTGCCTAGACTATGCTGCTCGACCGGGATCATGCGGGATCGGAACTTCAGCGTGTCTTGGGCATGCATTGCATCGGTTGGGCGGAACGGCCAAAGAACGTTGTCGTTTGTGTAATGGATCTGGCGCAGAAGTCTCTTGGTGTCAATCTTGACCTGTTTTGATATGAGCTTATGCTGATGTCTCAAGATCTAGGCTCCATCGAACACTCATCCCAGCTTCTCTGCTCCTAGAGGAAGCCCTCAGTCCTCTTGTCAAACATCCAGCCACTGCTACACACGTCCATCGCTCGAATTTCCTTGCTCGTCATCTTTATGCCAAGGACATCATTCTCGCCCCCCTGGTATTTCGTGCTGCTATGCGGTTGGAGCGATGAGGTGGAGATGGCTCGCTGAGATGTTCTATATGTTACCTTTGTGGTAGGTGCTTTTCGGTGACGTGTTTGGTTGAGCATAATCTTGAGACATGCTGCAACGGGCGGCTGCAGTGTACGACAGAAGCAACGAATCTACATGGGAGAGCATGCTATCTCATCGAGCGTCCACCTTCTCCTGCTTTCACCGCTCCTTGTTCTCTACCAAGCAGGAAGAAGTTGGCCTGGCCTCTTTCCTCGACATGATTCACAACAGTCAGAGTGAGGACTCCCGACAGTATGCTGTCGGTTGCTATTCGCAGCTTGGAATGCTATACGACGAGCTTTGGAGGAGTCACGGTGATATCGTCCCAGCAGTTTCATGAGGTAGAGATAACCTTTGACCGCTCCGTGTCATGCTTCTACCCCACAATCTTATTTTCCCTCTGGCCCTTCCGAGGCATCAGACTGAGAAGTGCCGAAGCCTTGGATGTTGGGCCGCTACCCGTGTTTCTTGGGACAGTGGGAGAAAAAAGAAGCAAAGTATCAGCCCATGAAACCATTTGCCGACGGGCTCGTGCCTCCGATAGGGCCATCCGTCCACTCAGCATCCGCCATGCCGAGGCAGGGCTCATATGGGGTACAGCATCTGACAAAGATCCTTTTCCTGCGGCAATGGTTACTCTCGAGACTCCCTCGCAGAATCTCGAACTTCTGGTCGGTCGTACTACACTAACGCAGGGGCACTCGACGCCAAGCCACGGTACTCCAGTCAGGCCACATTCTTCAAGTATGCTTCTGATTTCCAGCTGTCCGGTGAATGATGCGTTGTTTGTATCAGTCTGTCGCCCAGCAACAAGGCTTGGCAAAGCCAAGACTAGGGCCTCTATGCACGCGCTTCACAGACGACATATTGCTTTCGTGTCGTGATATGGCTATCATGTGCCTCTGCGAGGTCCTGCAACGTCCGCCTGCGTTTCTTGTCTGCAAATTTATGCAGCTTGACGGAATGGGCCATGTTGATGCCACTTGGATCCTCCCAGCGGCACCGCCCTTGCGTCCCTTTGCTGAGGTTCGGCTCCCAGAAGGGCAGCCCTAAAGGAAGAAGCATCCAATATGGCAAGGATTACGTGGCTATCATGGTAGGCAGACCATTATGGCTGAAGATTCACGCCCAAGAAGCCCAGCTTGTCCTTGCCCGGCTTTCTGTGGAACAGCACAGGACCAGCGGAAGCTGTTCCCGGTCTGACACAGTCTCAGAATGCCAAGCACATGATCAAGGCCGTTCCTGCGAACAACGGCCAACTTCCTCTTCGGTGAGAGCATGAAGCCCTGTGCCACACCCGCTGGTGGGTTTCTGGTCGATATTGCGCCTTTCCCACGTCTCACAAGCTCTTCCAAAACAGTGATCCAATGGCAGGCAGTGGAGGTTTGAAAGCTTGTTTACCCTTTACTTCGTGAACAGGCACCTTGGAATTATAAACTTCCTTGGAGATCACTCAAACGGTTTCCATATGCTGTGGCACCCCAGGCACATGCTTTTCACATGGGGCTTGGCCAATTGCCGGATGATATGCGACGCCGAACAGTGGTTGGAAGGCAACCAAGTCGCAGATTTCACTGGCTGTAGGACTTTGGGATGAGGTCAACTCGGTTTCTGTTATGATGACACGGCGGCCTCCAACGAGGACTTTTCTGGGCAAGGCATGGTAATTTGAACGGTATATTCGGAATGTGCCACGGAATGGATTCTGTGTCGCAATGTGTCGGTTCAACTCGTCGGGCCCGAATTTCGATGGCTATGCGTTATTACCGCCGAGCTTCTCCCCATGGAGGGGTTGCGTCCTCGGGTTGCGGTCATGATATACATGGACTGAGCATGAGATGTCGTGAACAATGAGGTGAGAATGGTTGTGAAACTCGGGGTTTTGAGTTGAATCCCTCCTGTCTGCGTTGTCAACTGGATGCGACGAAACTGCCGCTATAGGACCCCAGGACTCATGGCGCGTGAACGGGCGAGCTTGAACAGGACTAACCCATAACAATTGGACGCATTGTAAAAATCGATAGCGAAACTGTTTGCGATTTTCTCACGAGAGGATAAGACGGGGGTTCTGGATTGGTTGAAAAAGGGGCATCATATGTCTCGTCTGGGCTCTTTATCCCCAATCGCTGCATGGTTCATCACAGAAACCCCCACGATGCTCCGGATAATTGGATATGTAGGGTCTGCTTCTACCCCATACATTCCAGCTGATTGGAGCTGTATCCATTGCTACTTGCCTAGCTGGGACGTTGGGTTGTGGTGTTTGCCGCTTAGGCAGAGCGATGGGAGCCCAACGACGAGACCAATGGACGTCTGATCGGACCACTTTGAGAGGAGGAGTCATGGCCAATGGGGACAGAGCCACGTGGATTGGATATTGAAGTATCTTTTGGGGGTCTGCATTTGAACGCTTTTTTATGGATTGGTAGAGCGTCTCAAAGTGAAGTATTGACCTTTGTGTTGACATGAAAGTGCAGCCTCCAGGTTAAGTTGTCTGACTTGGTGACGTCCCTCTGATTGTGGCTGTGGTGGCGGTGTGCATCGTCATGGATGCATTCATACAATCAGTGCTGGTTTGCCACCCAGAGCAGCAAAGCAGTTCACCTGGAGCAGCTCAGGGTGCTGTAACTTGCAGCGCTCGAGTGCTGTAGCAGCAAAGTTAGTGCATGAATCGTGCATCAAGCTAAAAAGCTACGTCACAAGACTTTTCCCCTAACAACAGAATCTTGAAACCCACCTTTCCTATGCAACCTCTCCTTGTCCTTGTTCGCGGAGCTTCTGCTTCTTCCTCTCTCGACTCTCGCCTCTTCTGCAGCCCGGACACGGGAGGAGAATGAAGCATCATGTTCGGGGACAACGTGAAACCAGACAAGTGCGATGGCGAGGACTACGTCCGGCCGGCGTCCAAGACGGTGCGCGACCTCGAGGTGCAGCTGGTGCTGTCGCTGATTCTGGGTGTCGGCGCCCTGATTGCCTTTTGCGTGAGTGAGATGCCACAAACATGCCGCATTCTTTCGATGGTCGCTGCTGGATGCTAATTGAGCCTGGTTGGATGCTTCTAGATCCTGCGCCCGCGATGGCCGACGCTCTATGCCGCGCGCAAGAGGCGCCTTGATCCCAACATTGGCCTGCCCGCGCTGACCGACTCTTTCTTCGGATGGATCCCCAGGCTGTACAATGTGTCTGAGCAGCAGATTCTGGCGTCGGCGGGACTCGATGCGTTTGTGGTGCGTATTATCGGCGGTTATCGAGGTCAATTTGCGAGGAGGACAGGCGCGACTAATACGTGGTTATACAGTTTCTGACCTTTTTCAAAATGTCCACCCGCATCTTCGCCATCATGGCCTTCTTCGCCGTGGTTGTCCTATGGCCGATCAACTACAGCTATCGCAACTTCTCACCGCTTCTGGGAGGCAATAACACGGCCGGCGACGATGGCGACAATTGGGACGACCTGTATAAGCCGGTTGGCTTGCCTCTGGGCTCGGCATCGCTGGCCGCGGCGGGAGATGGAGTGCCAAAGGACAAGAGCCGAGAGAGGACGTTCCTATGGGCCTACGTCTTCTTCACCTACTTCTTCGTCGCATTGACGATTTACTTCATCAACAAGGAGACTATCCGTATCATTGGGTACAGGCAAGATTATCTGGGGTCACAGTCCACTCTTACGGACCGGACGTTTCGCCTTACTGGCGTACCGTCATCGTTCAGAACCGAAGCGCGCATACGAGCCGTCATCGAGAAGCTCGGCATTGGCAAGGTCGAGGCCGTATCAATCTGTCGAGACTGGAAGGCGCTGGACGAAATCATGGAGGAGAGGAACAAGATCCTTCATAAGCTGGAGGTGTCTTGGGCGCGTTACCGCAAGCAGCAGCGGCACTTGGCCGCCAATGGTGGCAACGACCGAAATGGCCATACGGAATCTTCACGGAACGACTCACACATTAGCGAAGGTGATGAGGAGACTGGCGAGAACTGGCGGCTCTTGGGAGACGATTCGGAGCAAGCTCACGTCCACCTCAGCGAAGGCGATCGACCGCAAGTTTCGCTGCGATATGGCTTTCTTGGACTCCGAAGTCGAAGGGTCGATGCCATTGACTATTACGAGGAGAAGCTCCGGAGACTCGACGACAAGGTGCACGACGCGCGGAAGAAGGAGTACAACACTACGGATATGGTGCTCGTGACCATGGACTCTGTCATGTCTTGCCAGTTGGTCGTGCAGGCCCGCATTGATCCTCGACCTGGACGGTTCCTGACCAAGGCTGCGCCATCGCCGTCGGATATCGTGTGGAAGAACACATATGAACCTCGTGCGGTGCGACGGATCAAGGCCTGGACGATTACTCTCTTCATCACAATTCTCACCCTTGTCTGGATCTTCCCTACGGTATTTCTGGCTTCTTGGCTCAGTATATGCACTATTCAGAAGATCCTGCCCTCCTTCTCCGAGTGGCTCGAGTATCATCCCATTATCCACTCCCTGCTTCAGAACGGCGTCCCTACCTTGGTGGTGTCGCTGCTCAACGTTGCTGTCCCATATCTCTACGACTTCTTGTCCAACCGCCAGGGGATGATCTCTCATGGCGACGTTGAGCTGTCGCTCATCTCCAAGAACTTCTTCTTCACCTTCTTCAACACCTTCTTCGTCTTTGCTGTTTCGAAAACGGGAGTCGACTTTTGGAGCGTGCTCCAAGACTTTCTCAAAGACACAAGCAAGATCCCTAGAGCCATCGCGGCTGATGTGGAAGAATTGTCCGTCTTCTACATCAGTTTCATCATCCTGCAAGGCATTGGCCTGATGCCCTTCCGAATTCTGGAGGTCGGAAGCGTCTTCCTCTTCCCAATCAACCGCTTCCTGGCTCGGACCCCGCGAGACTATGCGGAGCTTAAGAAACCGCCTGTGTTCCAGTACGGCTTCTATCTTCCAACCTCGCTGCTCGTGTTCAACCTGTGCATCATATACAGCGTGCTGAGGTGGGGATTCGCCATTCTGATCTTTGGAACAATTTATTTCGCGATCGGGTATTTCACTTTCAAGCACATGCTCTTGTATGCGATGGACCAGCCGCAACATGCGACGGGAGGCGCGTGGCCGATTATTTGCTACCGCATCGTCGTCGGGCTCGTCGTGTTTGAGATTGTTATGGTTGGCCAGATTGCATCCCTCTCGGCTTTTATACAGTCGGTGGCTGTCTTTCCTCTCATCCCCTTTTCGATCTGGTACAGTTACTACTTCAAGAGGCGGTATGTCCCGTTGATGAAGTACATTGCCCTGCGAGCCATCAAGCCCGCAGAAGGCTCTGGCGCAGATGAGGCTGTTGTGGATGAGGAGGAGTCTGATGACGTTAGCCCGGATCGCTCTCAATCACGAGAGATGCTACGTAGAGGCAGCACGTTGGACGAACTCAAGGAGAAGGGCTTGACGTTTGTCAACCCGAGTCTCGTGGTGCCGTAAGTACCACTCTTTCAAATCTATATGAGCCGCATGCTAACATGACCAATTTCAGTCTCGAGCGCCCGTGGGTTTACACTGATCCGCCCCCGATCGTAATGACTGACGAGGAATCAGAAGACGGTTCCGCGGACGGGTCTGAAGAAGACCAGCCCACACTGGTGCTGCCCAATGCAGACAGCTCTTTAGGCATTGGGGATGATAACGTGTGGCTTAACGCAGCGCGACGTGACCGAAACTCAAGATGAGCCGAACACGAGATTGACTTGAGATGGGCTGCGTTTTGTGAAGGGCCTTTACTTGGGTATGCGAATACGGTGGCCGCACTATCTGGGGATGTCGAACCTGCTGTTTTCTGCTCATTAATTTTTCGTTTCTCATACCACGGCGTTATCGATTCATGGCTGATTCTTACTACCTTCCCTGTTCGCGACGTTCCCTTGCAATATCTCTTTCCTTCCACGTTGGCTGCAGTTCCCTCTTGCCCTTTGCCGCTTTTACATATGGCAAGAACGATACCACTGAAATAGTTAGATAGCGCCTTTCTTTGCATGACTTATATGAGTGTTAGTTTGAAGGAGGAGCGATGGAGATTGATGAAGGAGAGCTCGACAAGAAGTTAATTTACGTCAACAAGAATGTCTACATGGGCGTATCGCCGTTTCCTGCTGAATACGAAGCATCGCTTATCTGCATCCACCCACTTACCTGTTCTTGACACCCTCACGACCAACCTAAGTTATCACAACATACGTTCTTTTATCAAGTATTGCCCCTGACCTGGAAGAGCACCACAGAGAAAACATACATATACCCAGAAAAGGAAATTGCGAGAAGCCTCCTGTCCTGGAGGCCAGCCTGCAAGACGTCCTCGCAAATCTTCGTCTCGAGAGGCGTTGCCGGAGCTCGGTCGACGAGATCGAGAGGATCTTGGCAGCGACCCGCGAGCATGAGCACGCCTGACGAGACCATGGCCGTCGTCGCGATGGTGACGAGCGGCGACAGGAGGATCTATGCGCTTCCCGGGCAGTTGGCGGATGTGGAGAAGATCTTTGGGGGGGAGTATGGGAGCGAAGAGGACGAAGATGGTGAGCTCAAATCTGATGGTGTAGAGAGAAGTACTAATGTGTGACTTGAGGAGTAGATGTTCCTGGCGCTATGCAATTACCCAACGAGCTGCTGCAGCAGATCTACTACCACCTGTCTCCCGTGGACTTTGATGCGGCGAGACACACGTGTCGAATTTGGTACCTCGCGTCGTTGGACCGCGAGCTGCTTACGAGCATGCTGAAGCAGGGAGGATGGTGGAGCAGCATGCTGAGCATCCTATCACCTATGAGAAGAGCGTCGGCTTCGAGCCTCAGCCGTGAGGACATCATGAGCAAGTGGCTAGCACGGGAGTGCAACCTGTTGGGCGAACAGCACCGGTGGCAGCATAGGCCTGCCTTTGTGGAAGTTGGACACACGGATTTTAGTGCCGCGGTGCCTGGAAGTACGCCTGGGAATTTGCATGGGGCCATGAGCTTTACTGTGAGCCTGTGTGGCAGGTTCCTGATGGCGGTGCATGGCCGCGTCGTCTACATATACGAACTGAACCATGTGTGTTTCCCAGAGCGGTTGATGTGGGCATTGCCGATTCGGCGGAGACAGGGGATGCCGTTGGGGCTGTTAAGGCCTGTGACGAGAATCTTGTGTCCGCGAAGAGTGATTTCGTGCAGCATGGATGCGTCGGCAGAGCGATACTCTGTGGCCTTTCTGATGGAGGGACGCGTTGGCATGGTGTGTGATATTATGGCGGAGAGAACGGGCACGTCGAGCCCTTCGACGCCTCAGACGGATGAGGCGCCTGCTACTGGGGAGTATGCGGCAGACACTTCCTTTGCATTCGCTTCTGCGATTGCATCTTCGTCTACCTCAGCTTCTGCTTCGGCATCCGCATCCTCATCCGCATCAGCAGCTTCGTCATCGACGCCCTGTGTATGCCAGAATCGGCTGCCTTGTCTGCCTGTGCCACTGGAGGAAGGCCCGAGATCGGTTTATCGCAACATCTGCCATCCAGACGACCCTCCTCGATCGGTGGCCATCTGCCCCCAGAGAAAATGCGTGGCGTTCGGATGTTCCGCTGGGATTGAACTGCATTGGGTCGATGCCATGACTGGTCAGGATCTCAGTAGATGGTTCCCGCTCACATCTCCGAGCGACTTTCTCTACTTCCTCCCGCCACGCAGGGGAGTCGACACGCCAAGAAAGCTGAGGTTAATCAGCTCAGCTGCTGGCTTGGGTGGTCCCATGGACTTACTCGAGGGCATTGTCCACGGCTTCAGCACTTCGCTGTTGGGGACAGGCAGCACGGCCGTGGTGTCCTGCCTTGATGCCGAGTCTTGGTACTTGCGGCATGGCCGAGACGTTTATCTAGAGGCCAGCGGATCGAACGGCCGTGCTAATGAAGACGACGATGAACGTCTCCTGAGCCGTAATGTGCCGAGAGACAGCCCTCTTCGACGCCTGGTTGCTGCTAGTGCAGATCACTTCCGGGCAGTGCCGCTGAGCGATGGTTACCATATTTTGTTTACCGATCCTCGCACGGGGAGTCTCTGTTTGGGGACTGATGCTCCCGTGGGATCTCTTACTCGTCTTCTCCGAAAACTGTGGTTTCGCCCCCCTCCACAAGCACATTCGCCTGTGCCGCTCCTGTATACTGCTGGAGCTGATACGCGGCATGGTGTCCGTGTCGTAGCGACTTTTGCTGCTGGCCGACGAGGCGACGGAGACTCCAACCAGCAGCTCATTGTGTTTTACACAGTGCCTCCCGACATCTTTCATGACATACGCCGAACTGATGGGGAAGCTCGATCTGCCGGATATCGCCCCCGTGGCGACCGCGAATTCGGTCGTCCTGAGCCGGTATACGGCGCCATCGACTTGCTGAGCGATCCATTTGGGGATGATTGCCCATACCCAGTCGAGATACATGGACAAGTGGTGGCGGTGTGCGGCAATCTGACCGAAATCGCGCTCAACTCGTCCCCAGACCTGATCATCTGGGCATTTGCTGCCGAGGGATGGGCCAAAACCTGGGCGTTGAACACCGGGAGATGTCAGTCAAAGCTGAGGTATGCTGCTCAGCGAGATGGCAGTATTCGACAAGTCGATGCGGACGGCGATGTCCTCATGGCCGGACGCGCTCAACCGTGGGAGCAGTCTTCGGGATTGAGTTCGCTGGACTTCAACCTCTTTGACGGCGCACACACGAGTGACCTTGATGATGAAGATCCACCAATGGCGCAAGGACCGTATTGCTGGGGCAAGAGATGCCACGTCCGGGGGCAGATTTGGGAGATGCAGGATGATGTGGCTGATGCTCTGAGCATTGACATGATTGAGGAGGTGGGGAGCATTACGCGGGTGAACGTCGAGCTCTTGTCCTAGGGATTCTTGGGTTATTGTAGCAGTATAATTAGTGGAACATGATTAGTATCTATATCTTATCAGAAGAATTACGCCTTTGCTGGATCAAGAACGGTGTCCAATGGTTGCTCAGATGAAAACGCGTGATAGAGGAGACTGGGACGGCGCTAATGAAGCCTTAGGTGAGGTTAAAAATGCTGTGAAAATCCAAAAAAAAGCAAAAAACGGCAATTCCAGGAACAGTTGAAGACTAGTTGTTTGAACAGTAATGGCCCGTGCCACAAGCTACAGTTACCCTCAAGGTCGGGTTTGCCATACGCCTGCACTTCAATTTTGAGTTACAGTGCCGCACGTTAGCATAATATACTATCAAGAGAAATAGCATAACACGGGGATGATATGACGCATCTCACAGTCCCTTCACGGCTGTTCATAATTGCATACTTCGTAAAGAGGTTCGCTGCTGCAATTACGACATATCAGCATAGCTCTAGACCTGGGATACCGGCTTGTGATACTGCTAACAGCGTACGTGATGTGCTATTCGGCTGCACTGGGAAATGTGGTGTGCATCTAGCTGGGCACAAGCCATTACTCCATTACTGTTCTAATAGGAATATTTAACTGTTCGAATAGGACGACTCT